ATCCAAGAGAGCTGCTGGTCTTCCAAGAGGCAAGTTAATTGGAGATTAGGTAAAAAGCTAATTATGGCAGGCTAYTGCAGAGGGACAGTGTTACCTTCAGGAAGCCTAAGCAAGCACTATGAAAATACTTCCTTACCCACAGGCCATGCCAATGTCATACGATCCATTTCGGATTCCACCTGCAACAGCAGTGCATAAACATTCTTACTGTCATCAGCAGCAAAAGCATTTCAAGCTCAGCTGCAGTTTCCAAACACCTGAGCACCCAGTACAGCCAAATGGGCATYTCCTCACCCTCCTGCCTGCCAGAGAGCCAGGTCAAGGAGCTGATGGGCCTGAGGACTAACATGGGGCCAGAGAGAACTGGAGGGAGCCTTGTGGAAGCTGCCTGATATGGAGGTGATGGTAAAATTTMTCCCCAGAAAACCAAGTTACTTCCCTAAGGATAAGTTTGGCCACTCAAGGATGTAAAAATATTAAACTGATACTACACTGAAAATTCCCCACAGTACAAGACTCTATCACTGTTTTTACTGCTCAGAGACACTGGAGGACAGGAGGAATGAGCCTTTGGGGTGGGGCAGGCATSGACTCTGATGCCAGTGCCCACAACACCTACCAGCTATGTTGATAATGGCCTGTAGCCCGGAGGAGCACTGCCGGTTCACACTGCAGCACGGCACCGTCTCTGGAATACCACTGGAAAACAAGATAGTGTTGGTACAGACTCAGTGATGAAAACCAGCAACATGYCAAAGCTCTAAAGAGTGCATTAATCCACTTGATTAAACCTCAAGTTCCAGGCAGATCCCTTTATCTGTTGCTTGATCTATCTGGTCCTGAACCAAGGCAAAGCAAAGTTCAAAGATGATTTCCACACTTCACTTGAAGTGGCTCCAAGTGCCCATAGGTCTCTCTTCAGAAGGTCCTCTGTAAGCAGGGCCCTCCCCTGTAAATCCTGAGCTCTGATCCAGGCCAGAAACCCCAAAAAGCTCTGTAATATTCCTAATTACAGGCAGGCTATGCCTGCACCTCTCCAGAGAGGTAACAGTGCAGTGATTGACAAAAGCAAACAATGGCAATACACACTGGCTGAAGTATTTGCAATCTGGGATCCAGCTCAGTACAAGCAATTGACCAACACTGGGCAATGACAGAAAGATCTGAGACCACTCCATGGATTTGGGACCAGGCACAGCAGAGAAAAGTGCAGCCTCCCAGTCCAGAGAGGCAGCAGGGGMWGCTGGGAGTCCACAAAATATCTCCYATTCAGMTGGCCAACACGGGCAGTAYAAACAGATTAAACAGCCTCACCTCTGCCTCCCTGTGCCTTTGCCATTAGCATTCTCTGAACGCTCGATCAAAGTCYAATTTCTAGGCAAAAGGTTATTTGCTGTAATTCCTGGGAGCATATGAGCAACCTCTGACCCTCTGCTGCTCCATGGCCCAAGGAGGAGAGGAAGTACTTTGGTCTAGTTGAGAGCTTACCTTAGAAACTGTGCAACTCTTGCAATCAAGGCACCAGCTCCAGGCTGCAGCACATTCCCTGAGTGCAAAGACACAATTCCAGTCACTTGGCTGCATTTCCCTCGCAGGCATCAAAGGGGTGTTCCCATCACCACAGCTCAGCACTGCCCAGCACCAGATTAGAGCCCCACCACCAACAGGACAGGCATGAAAACCTAACGCTAGACTAATCCCTTCCAGCCCCACAAAATTTGCGAGTATCCCACAGTACATGAGGAGCAGCCTGTCCCACACAGTATCCAGACCAGYAGTTCTACCAGGCTGGTTCTCACTCACCCACACAGATGTCTCCCAGGACCTCAGGACGAAGGTTGACATCCTGAAGGACAGCTGTCATCACAGCAGCCARCAGCTCATCGGGTGTCGTGTCCTAAAAGCACAGGGGATCAGCACCACCAGTGAGCACCAGTAATTCCTCATCACCAGTTCAGCCTCGGACCACTTCAGAGGGCTGGCATGTGGTGCTAAGGCAACTTTACTCCACTTCTCAGCTCACAGTGGTTGTTGTTTTCCTACCACAGCAGAATTATCTGCATGTTTTTATTCCAGGTTTCTTTCAGCACTGTAAGCCCCACACACTGCTTTCTCACCTACCTTGATTTTATAGGAACACGCTCCGTAGGGCCCTCAAAATCAAACTGCAGAGATTTATGTGAGAAGACTCAGCCAAGGGAGCCCCTCCATTTATTTTGTGAAAGAAACAGGGGTGACCCCTCAGCTGGTGGGAAGCATGCATGGCATGGTGAGACTTGTCTGGAAGGATGACAAGGAACGTGCACGCTTTGGGATCATCCTGRCACCGTGTTCTTGCTCAGGAATCTGCGGATGCCACCCAGGGAGATGCAGGTTCCAGAAGGGTGGCAGGCCCGTGCCAAGCTGTGCAGGTGAGGAACACGCTGCTCTTCCAAGCGGCTGCTCCGTGTGACAGGGCAGGTGACAGCGGACTGTGCCTGGTTCCCGGGCTCTTTCGGGGATGCCACGGGCACTGCCTCACCTGGGCCACGCACCCCCAGCATTAAAACCATCATACAAGAATGGGATTTGGACTATTCCAGAGCAGAGCAGGTCTGGGGGTCAAGCAGGGGTCCAGCAGCCGGGCGTGCGAGCAGGGGAGGCCAGGAAGGGGAGGCCAGGAAGGGGTGTCCCTATCCCAATGGGGGTGCCCAGCACCTGTGGGGAGCAGCGGGCAGGACCCCCCGGCCCGTACCTTGAAGCCGCCGCGGCGGGCGCGGCCGATGGCGGTCCTGCGGCCGTGCACCACCACCACATCGTCGGGGCTGTGGGCCCGCGGGGGACCCCCGGCGCAGGGCACGGCCCTGGGAGYGGCCACAGGGCCCGGTGCGGCCCCGGCTCCGGCCAAGTGCCCCAGAACCAGCTGAGCCCGCCGCGCCGCCGCCGCCATCTTGTCACGGGACGGATCAGCTCATTTGCATGAGCCCCCTCATTTACACAAAGCGTGCGTGGATATTTGCATAACCCCGCCCCTCTCGTGTATATGGCCCCGCCCCCTCGGCAAACCCGCGCTCCGGCCCCGAATGTCAAAACTGAACCCAACAAAACCAACGTAAGGTAAACAAACAAAACTAAACTAAAACAAACTAACAAAAACAAACAAAAACAAACGAAATATACACACCAAAAAAAAGGAAGGACAAAAGAAAAAAAAGGAAAAAAGAAAAAAAAGGAAAAAAGGAAAAGTGGAAACAAGGAGGAAAAGAGGGATAAAAAAAGGAGAAAAAGAGGAAAAAGCAAAAAGCAGAAAAAAAGAAAAACAAGGGGAATGAAGAGAAAAAAAGGGAAACAAATGGAAAAAAGCAGAAAGGAAACAGGAAAAAATGAAACAAAAGAGAAAAAGGAAAGGAGAAAGGACAAAAAGGAAAGAAAACTGGAAAAAGGGGGAAAATGGGGAAAAGAAAAATGAGAAAAAGTAAAGAAGGGGGGAAGGGGAAAAGGGAATCAGGGGCAAAATGGAAAAGTAAAAAGAAAAATAAAAAGGGGGAAACAGAAAAACAGGGGGAAAGGAGGAAAGAAGTAAAAAAGAGAAAAAAAGGAAAAATGGAAAAGGGGAAAAAAAGGCAAAAAGGGAAAAAGAAAAAAGGGAGGAAGAGGGAGAAAAGGGAAAAAAGGAAAAGGGGGAAAAGGAGAAAACAAAAAAAGGGAAAGAGAAAAGGAGGGAAAAGAGCAGGAGGAGGGGGAAAATGAAGACCAAATGAAGACCAACATTTTAAAATCAAAATAAATTAATTAAAATCAAATTTAGAAGTATAAAAGCCTGTGTATTTGGAGTCCAGGATGGGATGTCAGGATGAAGGGCACACAGAGCTGTGGGGTCTGAAAGCTGCACAGACCCATTAGTCCCAGAACTTCTCATCACCCCCCGGCCCTGCTGCCCCTGGGGTGGTGACATCGGGTGCCCTTGTGCCCCTGGCCCCACTCCCACCCCGTGCTGGGAGCTGTCCTGCTGGGATGGGACTGTACTGGTGAGCAGGGGACAGGYAATGGAAACGCAGGATTRTGGAATYGTGAAGGTTGGMAAAGAMCTCCAAATTACCAAGTCCAGCCATGTTCACCACTAACCCACATCCCCAAATSCCACATCCTCAMTCCTTTTGAACACTTCCAGGGATGGTGATTCCACCACTGCCCTGGACAGCATGTTCCAATGTCCTCCTGCAGTGCCCCCCACAAGAGGAGKTAATTTCTCCATGGATACTGGGCAGTGCACAGGGAAAGCTGCAGGGCCYGCTACRGGTAAAATAAAATRAAAACAAACCAACSAAAGAGAAAATGACTTTACATGACAGAATAATTCCATTTGCTTTTCCYAGTTCCATTCTGTACATCAGAACAATGTAAGGGTTTTACAAACCAGAAAGGCAAAGGCACCTGAGGAGTGTCTCACACTCACACACACTCATACRCTCACACTCGCCACGTCCATCCACAGGAGGATTTGGGTGGTTTGAGGGCCTTGGGAGCAATCTGGGGCAGCCAGGAGCCCCCTTTGGCTCTCAAAGCTTTGGAAAGAAAGAACATACCCACCCACCACTGAATGGCTGAGAAAACCCAAACCAGATTCAATGAAAGAAGAGAAAACAGCTTAAAAATTGTTTTGATTTTTTTTTTTTTTTTAGCTTTGGTGAACACACATTTTGTTACCCTCTTCTGCCAAACCCATTCCCAGACAACACTGATTTTTTTCTCCTTGTGTTTGCTTCCATCCACCCCATATTACCMACCAGACTGATGGATTTGGTCCTAGTCACAGAACAAAATTCTTCAGCAAAAGGAGATTTCTCCCCTCCCTGTGAGGATCTGTCCATCACCACTGTWGTTAATTGACACAACACCTGGTGCTGCTCCACCACTGCCCCCCAGCTTCCCTGGATCCTGGCTTCRCAAAAACCAGCCTCCAGCAGCTTTCAGACAAATTCACAGGTATTTCTTTTAATTTGCCCTAATACTCACAGTGGTTTTGTTTTTTTTTTTTTCCTTTTAAACTGAAATAACTCTTTAAATTATGAAGTCATCACATGGTTTGGTTGGAAGGGACTTTAAAGTTCATGTCTTTCCAACCCCTTSCCATGGGCAGGGACACTTCACTAAACCAGGTTGCTCCAAGCYCTATCCAACCCTGACCCTGAATGTTTCCAGAACCAGGGTATCCACAGCTACTCTRGGAAACCTCTTAAATCTCGCTTCTCTGTTCAGAGCTGAGCAGAGGACACATTCCCACTGCCACACCAGCAGTGCAAAGCCTTGATCTCTTCCACATGGAAGAATTCAAGGATGTGTTCACACAAACAACCAATTTTTCACTTTCCTCCTAAGTCTAAGCAACACTTTTAATTTTTAATGAAAACAAGCATTAAAATAAACCTGTGTCTGACACACTGGCCTGMGGATGGAACTTCCTGGTAACTGCTTTTTTAACCCTTTGCTGAGTTGGTGGAAATAGCTAATGCAGCAGAGAAGGGGGAGGTGGGATGGTGCAATTAATTTATCCAAAACCCCCCGAGATCTGATTGATTAATTAATTAACTAGCTTCCAGGGACTCTGTGCATGCTCCCTATCCAGGTTTTCCAGCAGGATAGTGTGGGTCAGAGGCCGTAGCCCAACTCTGCTTTTGACTGGCCCATTTCCTCTGACAACTTCAAACCTACTGCAGGAAGAAATCTGCTTCCAGCTGCCCTCGACTGCTGCAGCTCCGCTCTCCCAGTCTGAGGCTCCTGCAGCTGCTCCCTCGGGCACCACCATGGAAGTGATGCTCTCCATCCCTGTACCTGGGGATGGTCCACAAGGCATGGAGGAGGAGGCATGGAGAGGAGGAGGCACCCAGATCCATACGTACCAGTCCTCCGTGCCTCATTTTAGGCACTCTCTTGGGTTTTACAGAGATCCACTGGGCTCTTCCTGCAGCTCCACTTCCAAAGCACAATGGAATCCCTCCTGCCCCAGCACAGCAGGGCTATGAGCAGACATGTCCTTGCTGAGATTCCCACCTGAATCCTGACGGCTCCCAACACAATCTGGCTGCTGCTCAGCCCTGCCCACCACTGCCATCGACAGCATTTTAACACCACCATCATCATTTAACCCTCCCTCGCCCGTGGCAGGGGTCCCGGGCATCCGTCGGCGGGCGCACCCGGCACAGACCTCCTGCACCCCGAGAAGACCCCCCTGTTCCCAGACTCACRCACGCACACACACACGCGCCACGGCAAAGTCAACACGGCTGCTGCACCCTCACACCAGACTCCGAGCCGAGCATCACTCCTTGATTGTAACCGCGTAAGGCACAGGACAGTGTGAAACGCCAGCTGCTCCAGCGGGCTCGGTCCCCTTGAGAACGGGGACGCCCAGGTCCCCCCGACTCTGTGGTCTGAGGATCATCTCCTCTGGCTTGGCTGAAGCCCCTGTCTGAAACTCCGCGCAAGGTGCCGGTGGCCACTGAGCAGCCGCTTCCCCCACCGGTCCTGGGGATGCTGCCAGCACCGCYGCCGTGCTGGGGGGACATTTCCCATCTGCCACACTTCCCCCAAGAGAGCAATTCCATGGCGAGGGGGGATGACCCCGGTACCGTGGGCGGCAGGGAGGTTACGTGGTCCAGCACCCGCGCGGGCCGGGAAATCCCTCGCTCCGAATTTCCCGYGCCGACGGTCCCGAGCGCAGCTTGAAAATCCCACAACGGGGGCCGAGGCAGCGGCGAGCGAGAAGGGACTGTCAGGACAGCCCCCCGTGAGGTCCGACCCTCCGCCGGCGCTTCCCATCCCCGCTGCCAGGGCTCAGAGCCCGCAGTTGACAAAGGGGTGTCTCAGCARGTCCTCGGCCGTCGGCCTCCGCTTCTCCTCCACGAAGATCTGCTTGAGAAAGTTGCGGCAGGAGCTGGAGACGCCATCGGGGAGCTGGGGGTTGGTCGGCTGCGTGGCGATTTTAAAAATTGCCGCCATGGCCTCGAACTCCGCCCAGGGCGGCTTCTCCGTTAACATCTCCACCACGGTGCAGGCCACGCTCCTGCAACAACGCCAAGCACAGGGTGAGGGAGGGGGCAGTGGCTCTGCAGCTCACATCTCATCAGCTCTGGGACTGCACCTGCCTAAATGAACCCTGCACGGAGCAAACCTGCAGGAGACGGGCACATATCCCCAGTATCTCTGGTCCTCTGAAGCTTCCTGGTCACACAGTTCCTTAGCCCTGGACTTTCCACTCCCTTAGCAGGAGTGAAACCACAAGCCTTGCCTTAAAGCTGGTGGCTTTCCTGCCCATCTTGACTGGCAGGTACTAAGGTTCACAAAGCTCAGGGAGATACCAAGTTAACTGGCAGATAGTAAATCTCATAAAAGCTCACTGGAGCTTTTTCCCTGAAGGGAAATCCATGCACAGGTTCAGACAGCACAGTTTCAGCAACAGCACACAGCTCCACGGGAAGCTGAGCCAGAATGAAACATGTTTGTCTACATTCAGCTTAATCTCTGAGGTGTATCTGAGAAGGAATGACATATTTGAGAAGGGATGAGCAGCAAAGCGCCTAAGAGGTTTCCTGCAGCTTGCTCAAGAGTCCTGGTCTTGGCAGAGATACTCTGCCACCTCCATTCATAATTGAGCCTAAAAAATTAAACCACACTTGCCTCCCATCAGCCAAAGCAAGGCGTGCAGGGTACATGGATGCCTGCTAAGGACCCCCAAGGTTTTTCCACTCAAATAGGGTTCTCTTGGAAGGGCTATGTTTTGTTGACCTTCTTTGCTTGGACACACAATAGAGAGCACACTGTGAAGACATTGCTTCCCCCTCATATGGGAACATTACTAGTGTTACCCCATCTCTYCCAGGCTCCATCTGTCATCCTCCACAGATCAAAACATTCACAAGCAGCCAATAGTTTTGGCTTTCTTCGTGCCTGAGCCACATCCAAACATCCAGCAGCAGGTTTGGGAAGGCCACTGAAGATCCCCTGAGCCTCTGAGCTGGGCTTAGTGAGCCCAAAATCAGGGCCACCAAAACTCAGCAGATCTTTTAGTGAGTTTTGTTATCAACCTGCTTTCCAGAATTAAAAAGCAGTTATGGGGATGAGCTGGGTGCAAGACTCACACAAGACAAGAGCTTCCAAAAGCAAGTTATGATTCTGAGGGCTACTTTTTTTGGGAACATGAGCTACAGCTACTGCATACCTGCACAGTCGATCCTAAAATGCATCTCCTCTTTTCCATCCTTTGCACTGCTTGCAACTATCAGTGACACCTGTAGCTGCCATTATAGATTCCCAAAAGGATTTTTTGATTTGAGTAGCAATGGTGGGCTTTTTACTGCATTCCTTACCACACATCAGCTTTCCTTCCATAGCCCTCTCCGCTGATAACCTCTGGGCTCATCCAGTATGGTGTTCCCGTGACAGATTTAATCCCAGTCCCAGACATGCAGATGGTCTGGATGCGTTTGCTGGCCCCAAAATCTCCGAGTTTCACATTTCCAGCAGAATCTCTCAGAATATTGGCACCTGGRGTGAAAAGCAAAGACAAGAGTTGAAGCAGGAAGCTGAAGTGGCTACAGGGAAGAGAGAGGAAGGGCACAGGCAAGGAGCCAGGTGGGAAGGAGCCCAAAGGGCTATGGTGGGGGGTTGGACTCAGCATGATGTCCAATCCTTCCCTCCTAAGGCAGCTGCTCTCCAAGGGTTGATTACCACCATCATCCCCTCATTTAGCAGGTTTCCCAAAAATGAGCAGGGCATGGGGGCTAACAGATCATCCTTCCCTCCCACAGAGASCAGAACGGAGCCTCAGAGCTCTCCAAATGCCAGATCCTCTCAGTTCCTGGCCATGCTACATCAGGTTTTCAAACACTTAAGGGCACTTAACAATAATCCCTTGAGAGAGAAGACAGCACAAGATTTTTGTTTCAGCTGCTTGCTCAAGATTTTCATGACTGAAGCTGGTGAAGCATAGGGGCAAAAATAYTTCAAATAAMAGATTCCAGCACTATGCTGTGCACRAGGATTTGTATTGGGGAAGGGGAGGCTGGGCTGAACAAATCCAACCAAGCAAGAAACCTCTGTGTGTTATCCACTCACCTTTAATATCCCTGTGGACAATCATATTGCTGTGTAGGTAGAAGACCCCCTGCAGGATCTGCCTGGTGTACTTCCGTGTGACATTCTCAGTCAGAGCACCGTATGCYTTCAGCTGATCCTTTATGGAGCCCTGTAGCAAAGAAACAACACACAGCCGTGAGCACCAGCAGAATCTTCGTGTCACAGCAACTTCTTAAACCTTCCTGACCACTCTATCTTCCAGCTCAAAAAAACCCCAAACCCTTCTGTGTAGTGACAGCAAAAATCTACAAAGTGCTGAATGGAGCAAAGGCTTGTCCTCGTGTCCCAGACCCCTGGAGAGATAAAGGCAGGGTCTGGTGTCTGTCTCAGCTTCCTCCTGCCAGCACCACAGACCTTTTTCTCCCTCTAGTGGCAGCAGGGGCGTCACYGACAGCTCATGGAGAAGGACCAAACTGATGAGGAACTCCAACCCAAATGAGAAGATCAGCTCGATTAATTAGACTCATAGAATCTYTAAGGGTGGAAAAAAAACCTCTGAGACCACTGAGTCCAATCATTAAACCAGCACTGCCAGGCCCACCACTAAACCARGTGTTTTTTGAGSATTTCCAATGATGGTGACTCCAACCCTTCCCTGGRCAGCCTGTTCTGATRCTTGCCAACCCCTTCAGTGAGGAAATTGTTCCCAATATCCAACCTGRTGCAACTTGAGGCCATGTYCTCTTTTCCTATCACTTGTTRCCTGTACAAAAAACCAATTCCCACCTGTCTACCATCTCTTTTCAGGGAGTTGCAGAGAGCCAGTTCTCCAGRGCCAAGCTAAGGAGTCAATCTTTGAAAGCCTCCTCCCAAAACCTTGCAGAGCAAGGAGCACCCACAGGCACGAGGGACAACAGCCCCACGTGGGACTGCTCCAACAAGAGCACCCAGGGTAGACAATGTGCAGCTCCCTGAATTTCTGACCCAGACATGAAGGCACAAACTGGTCTGATTGTATTGATCAAAGAGCAGAAGAAGCAGGGGTGCAGACATTTGTCATCTCCAGGAGGTTGCTYCCCTTGGTTTCAGCTGTGTTTTCTGGCCACTTGGAAATGAATGTCTCACTGCACCAGGGCTGGGTTTRGCAGGGATGAACCAGAGGCAGATTTGGGGCTCATTTCCCAGCTCTACCTCCAGTATTTGGGCTGGCTGGGAAGYGAGAGGTGAACCTCATCCTGTTTCTGCCTGTCCTGCAGCTCAGGGTTGATCTGAGATTGCCAGTCCTGTTCTGGGAACAGTGGCTGCTCTGCTCCAAGCCAACCCGTCAAACTGTATTAACTTTTCCACATCCACCCATCTCTGCTGTTGCTCTGCCCAGCTACTGTTTTGGCTTCTTTTGAGGCTGGTGGTGATCCTGTGGATGGGCCTCTCCTTTTCCTTTTTCAGCACCACTGAAGCAACATGAGATGCTCTAAATGCACCCCTCGTACAACCTGTATGCAGGGTATGTTCCCTCAACACAACCAAAAGAGCTTTCTTATCCTGCCCTCCCTCCCCCTGATGGRGGGATATCAAACAGGAAGGGGAAACAGGTTCTTTAAGGCCTGTGGTCAAATGGACCATCCTGTTTTCCAAGCGTAAGTTAAAAATAGTTTATGGGCAGGACAGAAACTACAGTCAGCTATTAACTGGGAACCATCATAAGAATGCCAGGTGAAGGGTGCACCCAAACCTGGCCCTGTGAAGATTTTGCCAAGCTGACTGTCTTAAATGGGAAGCTCAGCTAGACCCAGCTTTGCAGAGCTGCTTTCCTGCAAGGTTTGGGAACTCCCTCACTTCCACTGGTCTTGGAAGCCAGAGCCCTGAGCTGCTTTTGTGAAACGAGCTGTTGTTGCAGCAGCAAAGTCAATCTGTGTTTGGTCAGAGCTCGGGTTTATCATTAAAAAAAACAAACATTGAACTTCCAGCCCTGCTGGACACTGCCCCAGCACCGAATGTTGATTTCCTGGCTGCTAACAAACATCAGCACACTGCGGAATAAGCAGCAAGGGGACTGCTGGAATTCCCAGGATTTACTGCTCTGGGTCCACACCTTTTGGTAGGGCCTGAAGGCAAGGTRCCCACAGGGATGGAGAGAGAACAGGGCCTGCAAGGGACTCAGAGGCGTGGAAGTCCACCTGATCACTCACATGCAGGATGCATTCACAGAGCTTCAAGAAACATTTACTAACAACCAAAATTATTTGCAACCAGATGACTTAATTGTCCCTTCTGACCTTACAAATCTCTGTATAAACAAGGGTTTATTCTCCCACACTCTGGGGAACAAATCCAGCTGGACAGGAGGGACTTAGGAGAACAGATCCTGTGGCAATGTAAATAGCACTATGCTGTTTTACACCAACCACTGACTTTGTCTGATGGCTGACGTAATTCACAAGTTCCCAAACACATAGAGATGCTCAACTCATCCATGTACATTCTCCAGCCCCTGCTTAAACTCCCTCAAAGCACTCTGGTCTTTTTTCCCATGGCTATTTCATCCTATATCAGCAAAGCTACTCCTTTACAAGAGGGTAATGCTGCCCACAAAAAGCTCTGTACTCAACAGAAGACTTTGTTTAAYGCTGTTTTTAACACACACGTGCTGAAAGCCACAAATAATTGGTGACAGCTGTGGGTGGACAGTTGTACTGTTAGCTTTTCCTGCAGGGATTTGCAGTAAATACTTAAGGATGGGCTCAGGCTACAGTGTTTGGAGCCAGATCTGGATCATGTCCCACATTCACCAAGCTCAGATTCCAGACTGTGAACACACCCTGCTTCAGGATTCAGTCTTAAAACCTGCCTGCAAGGTTTTTCATTTCACCCAGTGCATGTTAAGGGGCTTCACCRTGATATCTGACTCACATCCTGAATTTTCCCAAGCCTTAGGGATGCCTCCACTGCTTTGATTTGGTTCCTCAGCTATAAARCAACGCAGCTGGACAGATTCAAATTTCACCAAAATCCAGGACAGTCTAAATCTGTTTTCTGCCACTCAGGACAATCTCTAGCAGGAACCACACTTACCCCTGGCATGTATTCCACAAAGATAGACAGCTTCTTCTCCTCAGGATCCCGCAGGCACCCGTAGTACTGCACTATCCTGTCGTGACGGAGGGTCTTCAACAGCTGAATCTCACATTCTAAAGCATTCACTTCCTGTAACAGAACAGAGAGGCTTCCTGATGAAAGGGAATGGTGTCTTTGGGAATATGATGTGAATACTGCTCCATGCTGAGCACCATTGTTGTAGCAGCTGTTAAGACACTGGCCACACAAGGCTCAGAAATGAGCACCACTGTCCTCAGAGAAAGGCAAGGACAAAGACAGGGCTTGGCTTTGAGACAGGTTTACCCATTATTATTATTATTATTATTATTATTATTATTATTATTATTATTATTATTATTATTATTACTTGTATTCAAGGAGTTTTTCTGGAAAGGTGTCATTGAAGTCACTGCCCAGAGTGGAAGAAGGTGAAGGGAGAAAAAAGGACAAAACTAAGCAAGATCAGACAGACCTGCAAGAGATGATATCTGAGACAGACAGGCCAACGTGACCAAGGAACCAGGAGGCAGGAGTCACCAGAGCACTCTGAGTGATGCCATGAGCCATTCAGGACCACTCCAGAGAGGGAAAACACTACCTGCCCTCCATCAGGGACCTACACACCTCCATCCTCAGCCCCCAGCTGCCCAAGGTGCTGCAGAACAGCCCTGCCCTTGTACTCACTTTACTCGTCTCCTGGCTGTCAGGGTCAAAAGGCACCTGCTTCACYGACAGCTCCCGCCCAGTGTCCGCATCGTAGCAGAGATAAACTTCCCCAAAAGCTCCTCTTCCCAGCAGCTTCCCCAGCCTCCAGTTCACAGGTGCCTGCAGGGCTACAGGAGAGAGGAGAGGGTTGAGAGATGAGCCCAGCAGGGAGACTTCAGCATCGGGGCCCATCTGACCCTACAGGGTGTAGGGCAATTAGTGAGCCACCCTCTCACAGGAGCACCAGGACAAACTAATTTTACTGCATTGGTGCTACTGGTGTGGGGGGAATGTCTCCCAGTCTGCATTAGCATAAAGCACAAACAAGTCCCGGAAAAGTCCTATTTCATTAAGAGTCTTTCTTCTAAAAGCTGTTTTCTTAGCCAATGMTGGAAATTCCCTTCTGCTGTGGGAGTGTTTAGCAGGATACGGGAGGGCTGAGCAGCACCCCAGGCAGGGACAGGAAGCTTTCYCTCATTGGTCATTCCTAGGATGTTATCCATCCCTAAACAGGCCCAAAATGCACCAGCTTCCATATCATGGGCAGTCTTGCAATACCAGAGGAGCCTGTGACACCATCTCTGGGTGCTGGGGTGGCAGCAATGTAAGCCAAGGGACAGAAACTCTGGATACATTTTCTCCCATATCCCAAGCCTTCTGGGAACCTTCAGCTGCATGAGCACTCTGACAGTCCAACACACAATCAATTATCTGTAACCCAGCAAGCACTGAACACCAGCTGAGCCCACACAGCTCTCAGCTCCAGGCTGAGGTAAGACACAGGGTGTTGCACTGAACCTTTGTCATGAGACAGAAGTTGGTGCAATGTGCTGAGTGTTGGAGGTGCAACTAAAACTCACCCTTGGCTGGCTTAGCTGATGCCCAGTAACTCAGCAGGTCACAGTAACTCAATTTCATTCCCAAACCCAGCTCTACCGAGACCTCAGGCACTCGGGGCTTTGGTTCACTCACAGTTCCTGACTTTTGTAGGGGAGGTGCTGAAGACCTGCAGACCCTTTTCRCAATTGTTCCAGCACTTGGGTCTGTACTCGTCGTACTGCAAGGTGCTGAGCTTGCTGTCCCCAGTGAAGCTCTTGGTCCTGCTGGAAGGGACGAGCTGAAACAGGTTCTCCTGTGGGAAGTAACTCCTGGGGAAAGTCCTCCGGCCTGTAGGGGAAAAGGGGAGAAAGTTACAGCAAGAACACACACACCGGTTCGGATCTACCTGTCACTGCCTTCTCACGTTACTGCCCACATCCTCACCTCTCAAAATTAAACAAAACAAGTGTAATGAAACTGCAGCAAAGCCCTGTGAACATTTTAAATTCAATTTAAGAGCTGATAACAGCAGGCATTTCATCTAATGCATATGTTTCCAGAGGGGCTTGCAACAGTTTAATTACATTAGGGGTTTGTTGGTTGTTAATCACAATTAAACACTGAACAGGCAGGGATTTGCAATGAAAATTATCYCTGCCATCCCCTAAGTCCACAATGCAAATGGCCACGCAGCAGTGCCAGAGCTGCTCTCACAGGGGTGTCAGTGAGAAATGAAGTTCATTCTGGAAAGCTCAATACACTCTCTGCATGTCCTCAGTACATTTTTCCCAAGGGAATTTTTGCCTCCCACCACTTGCAGTCTCATACAGCAAAGAATGAGCAGGAAAAAGGTGATGGAGTGGCCCCCAAAGCTCAGAGCTCGCCAGCTTAAAAACAGAGCAGCAAACAGACACTGCTACCCTGAAATTGCTTGGGGATTTCCTGTAGCTCTGTGAGAAATCTGCTGTAAAGGTCACAAAAAGCATCCTCAAAAGCAACCCATTCAGGGGAACAGAAAGGTTGATATTGCCAGGGATGAGAAATGCCAATCATCCCCACAGCTAAATTAAAACAGGAGGGGCAAGCAGAAACAGGCTGTAGATGCTCAGCAGTGCCCAAAAGCAGAGCTGCAAGGTCTCTTCAGGACACACCAGTAAATCCCAAAGTACTTGGTGGTTCTTCCTTTATCAGAAACTTCCCTTTCCAAGTCTTTCCATCCCAGGCACTGTCACAACTGAGGACTGATCGCCTCTCCCCAAGCCTCCATCATTTCCTTACCATCACTGTAGTCCTTGCGACTTTGGGAGAGATGGTACTGCCTCGGGAAGGTGCCCCCTTTCCCAAACCTCTCACAGAATGGGATGTCAAAATCTGAGAGGAGAGAAGAAGACATGGCTATTTCTGAGATCAGCTCCGTACCAAATTGTACCAAATTGCCAGAGTGTTTGTTATGGGAAACACTGAGTTAGAGGCAAGAAGGAGGTGACAAATTATTCATTTATACAACTGTACATTCCCCAAGGCTCCCTCTGAAACCTGCCTCCAATGACAAATTCCTCAGTGGAAAATCAGGGTGCCCCTAAAGCTGAGGTTTAACTGCTGACTTTATGGACCTGACCCACCCTGTCCAAGTGCAAGGGGATAACACAGACCTGATTTCCAAGGCAGAGCAATAAAAATCTCATTTGCACATGGAGAATGCAAAAATCAGCATGGAAACAGAACTTCCAGGCAGGGTCAGACCTAGACAAATCTACCCCAAAACGTTTGCTCTGATATCAGCTGTTTCCAGGCTAATGCAAAAACCCTGCACTTGACTAACACCAGATAATCTCTCCTCTCTTTCTTCTCAGATGCAACTCCTCCCCTCTGAAAGCCAGGGACCAATTTATGCCTCCAGCGCTCCAAACTTTTATATTTATTTGATTAAATGCTAGAAAGATAGAATATACAGGAGGGACTAGAGACCATCAGTGTTTAGAGACTGGACAATGAGAGAGATGGATGGACATGTGAGATAAGGACATATTTTTTTAATAAAAACCACAGCGCAGGAAGCCATTGCTGGTAGCACCAAATAACTGGAGATTAAAATATCTGTCATTGCACCCCCTTCTTTCACCTGCTGTTTTTCCTCCATCTAATTCTAATGACACAGCCCCTTCTGATTGTTTGTTTGTCTTAGCCTGGGGCCAGCAGCCGCTCCTTGGAGGCCATTCCTGGCCTCTGCTGCACTTCGGAGTGATTGCCAAAAAGAGCACATAATGGCTGAAATATGGTCAGCAAGAGAAGCAACAAGGACGGGGCAAGAGGTTCTCAGCGAGCCACATGTGAGCAACGGTGCCCAGAGGTGTCTCAGAGAAAAGTGCCACAGGGGAAGCATTAAAACCTTCAGCAGTGAGGGCTGACTGCAGCTTCATCTCTGCAGCTCAATCTAGAAAWCCTGCCTCAGGCCAGCAATGAGTTATCCTGCCACAGGCTGGCTGCCATTTGCTCATTTTTAATAGTGCAAGTCATTACAATATTACAGAGTTTCCATTATTTAACCAGCTGGATGTTTGTAAGTGATTAAGCAGTAACCTATGATCTGTGCAAGCAGAGTAGAGCTTCTCTCACAGCATTTGTGCCGTTGAAGATTATTATTTGTGCAAGTGGAAGAAGTAGAACTCCCTGGAGAGCTGGGGTTTGCTATGGAGGAAGCTGAGATCCTGAAGGGGAAAACTCYCAGGTACTAAGAAAGACAAAAGCTGATCCTACAGTGCTGTTCCCAGCTTGTCCGCACCTTGCAGCTGTCTGCAAGCACAAGAGCATGGCTCTCTCAGCAACATCCTCCAACTCAGATTTCTCAACAGCTTTTGGCTTGTATCCATCCACCTCAGGGCTTCTGCTGCCCAGTTTGGACTGTTGTTGCTGTCAACTGATTCCCAAACCAGGCCCAAAGGTTTGGGTGCTAYCAGTATTGCTGCAGAGTCAAGAAGGGTTGATGAAGACAAGAGCAGCCCTGCYTGTGTTTGATGCTCTGGGTCATTTGGTTTTAGAGAATATTCATGTTTGAACATTGCAGGGTCAATTCTGAAGTGTTACCTAAGCTATGGGGTTTGTTTGCTTGATTGTTTTTAAATATTTTCATGCAGTGCCATCTCTCTCATAACCTTWACTCAGTCCCTTTACTACATGCTTATTATACTTTTAAGCAAATATAAACCACCAAGAGTGCTTACCCATACAATCAAGACTGTCTTTGGGATGGCTCTTCCTTCCAGGAACAGGGGTTTGGGTAAAGGGAGGACTGCAAAGAAATGAAAAAAAAAAATACATTTATTACATCAGAAAGGCCATGGAATTAATAGAGTAGGGAAAGGACAGGATAAATAAACCACAAGCTGCACTGATCACTGAGCTCCCAATCCTCATCCTGCACAGGACTGAGGATTGGTTTTTTGGCTGGATCACAGCTGGTTCCTGTGGCAAACAAAAGGGATGCTGCAAACCCCCCAGTCACCCCTGTGCAYGAGGCAGCACAGAAGGAGAGCTGCAGGTTTATTCTCCCTCAATGCCAAGTGTTCAACCACACACCTCTGCTTTCTGTGAACATTCCTCCTCAGCTGCTGCAGATGTACACACCTGAGTCCTTCAGTCATGCTCAGTTCATGCAGGTTTCCCCCTCTGCAAATCACCTCCCACCTTCCTCACACAGAGACTCTGCACYTCCACTGGAGCCTGCAGCCTCCCAGGAGACCAGGAAGGAGACCATGGGATCAGTGCTTCAAGGCTCAAGGTCTTTAAACCACAGTGAGAGGATGAAATGTACTGCAAAGGGATTTCAATAATCCCAGTTTCACCCCAGCCTCTGTAAGGGCCAACAGTGATTGTTTTTCCACTCTCCCTTTTAACAATATGGTCACACAGTAGAAATCAGCTCTGAAAGGGCTCTGAAACCTACTCATATCAAGTGATCAAAGCTGATCACTGCTGTGGCAAAGAGGCGTTTGTGGTGCTGCTCCTAACCCTCAGCCTGGTCACTGAGCCTGGTGACTTGCTCTGCCCCCTTGGGCTGATGCCATCCCAAGCATTGGCTGCAAGAGCTCTGCCACCTGTTTGCAGGAATAGTCCTCCTCACTCCCCTTTCTTCCTTGGAATAGCACAGCTTTCCTTGTGCTTTTTCCAGCTCCTAGACCTATGACTGAACACATCTGCTTGCTTTGCAGGCCTTGCCATGCCACCCTCTTACAAACAAAGAGATAAAAGCCTAAAGCTCTTCTCTCAGCTCACAACACACAGTCAGAACCAGCCCGTGCTCSTTCTGCTCTTCTTCCTGGCAAAATCTATGCAAAAGCAAAGCTGGGGCAGAGAGGTTGGGAACACAAGGAATCCAGCTTCGATATAGTCGTAACAATGAGCAAATACATCACAGGAAATTATTAAAAGCCACAAAAAGGAAATGGACCTTGATGCTGAGAGAGATCCAAAGCGCACAGAGCTGCAAACCTGAAGCACGCTACACAATCAACCCAACACAGACGCGCTGGAACGCAGCCTCGGYGCTGGATGGCAACAGCAACAGTGGAAAAAAATAGAAAATCTTTGATGCAGATGGAAAAAAAAATAGACTGCTTCCCAAAAGGACACTGTGTCTTATCCACAGCTCACCCTGCACAGCAGCAAACACAAGAGTTTCTGTGCACGTGTGAGCTGGGGCCAAGCGGCTGCACCAGCCATTGAGTCGCAGCCTGGGTTAGGACAACGTGTCCCAGTCGCTTCCTGCTGAGCAGCTAAACTTAGTTACTGCTCATCTGGTGTCCTCAGCACCTTGAGTGACACGTCTGTGGCTGCTGGCACTGCTCAGGGGCTGCTGAGTTTGCCAGTGGTCAGAGGAGAGCAGACAGYGTGCCCGGGGAGGAGGAGGCACGGAGAGGCTGATGGAATATTGACCTGGTGACTGCAGAGAGCCAGAGGGGAGGATGGGCTGTGAGAGAGGCAGGGCACTGGCACAGGGTGCCCAGAGAAGCTGTGGATGCCCATCCCTGGAAGTGYCCAAGGCCAGGCAGGATGGAGCACTGAGCAACCTGGKATAGTGGAAGGTGTCCCTGCTCKTGGCAGGAGGGTTGGAACTGGATGATCTTTTAAGAWGCCTTCTAACCCATACTGTTCTGTGATTCTGTGACAATTTCTGTCTCAAAAAAAGAAAACCTGGTCACACAAAGCCAGGCTGTCTTTGTCCAGCTCAGATTACTGCAATTCAAATCATACCATTGCACTGTGCTAGAATAGACATCTGTGCTAGAATCTGGTTTTCAATGTTAAAAATTAATTTGTTTTGCTCAGGTGCATCCTCATCCCAACAGAAACCCCAGGGGATGCCCTGACCCTGTTCTCCTCCTGCTGCGGAGCAGAGGCTGCACTTCAGCTTGGAACACGGTGACACACACAACTCACCTGTCCACAGACCTGTCCAGTGACTGGCAGCTCCCAGACAGCGAGTCATCGGGGCTGATGAAAGCTTCAAGCATCTGACAGAGAAAAAAAAAGGGAAACAATAAAGCCATGCACTGCAGCTCTTCAAGCTCCAGAACTAGCAGACCTCTGCAGGGTCATCCATTTATGATGCCCTCTTTGCATTACTGTTCTTTCCAACTGCTACTTGCTGGTAGGAAAAGTGAAGCAAGGATAATTAGCACTGATGCTTGAAGCATGCAGAGAAACCAGTGAGATTCAAAGTGCTCAAAATATTTGTGAGAAATAYAATAATAATAATAATAATAATAATAATAATAATAATAATAATAWAAACTAAAGGTAAATATGTAACAGGACACAAATGATGTGCCCAAGGCCAAGTGGATACTGAGTACCACAGCCAGGATTGCAGCCCTGGATTCCTGACTTCCTGAGCTGCCCTGGCACACAAGCCCAGCCTTCCTCTCTGCTGATAAGCGCAGCATCATCAGGGGTTTTGGCTGGAGGAACGAGCTTGGCTCTCACCAGCTCAGTGAGTCAAAAGCTGCATTTGTGTTGCTTCCTGGATGAGACATTGTACTGGCCAGRGTTATTTATAGCTGGTCAGTAACAATGGAGGGTTTGTATGGAGTGGTAGAGCCAGGGTTCTGTGCAGTTCCACATGGAGCAGAGCCTGCCCTGGGCCACGTTGCGCTGCTGGTGGTGCCGTGCTCCCTCCTGGCTGTGGGCACTCACCAACCCCTGCTCCRCAGCTCCTGCCTGGGAAAGCTGAGCAACGAGGGTCAAACACCATGTGGAGCCACACTTTGCTGCTTCCCACATCGCTCCTCCTTCCCCAGCAGCCTGTATTTCCACAGGCTGTTCCTGTCAGCTCTCTTSAGCTGTTGTCATAACAGCTCGTGCTGTTTTGGCTGGACAGTCCCAAATGCAAAGTGCAATTTTTCTCTTCTTCCTGGTTTTTAACCCAAAACCTCCTTCAAAATGCACTAGGCCAAAGAGGAGCAAGAACTCTGACAGAACCCACTCCTCCACCTCTGCCAGCCATGCCAGGTCTCTTCCAGCAGTTCATGCTGAAACAGACACATTTCTTAAAAGCATAAAATTGGGAACTGGAGCATGCTCCACACTCAGCCTCTGTTCATCTGCCAGGCTGGTCTCAAGACCACAGTTACATCACAGGCTGGYACAGGGGCATTCCCCCAAAGGCAGCAAGTTCCAGCTTCTGAGTGGTTTTCCACCAGGCACATATGGAAGCAGCACTACAAGGACATTCTGAAGGCAAAGCCCATAAAGGGGAAAGCACAGCTGCTCAATGAGGAAAGACAAAAAAAACCCCAAACCATTCCCTAAACCCCTTTTCCCTGCAATTAATTCACCAGCAAAGGGCTGCAGGCCACCCACAGTGTGATGMTGGGGAAAAGCAAAGAGAGCATCTGGGAATCTTCATCAGGAGCAGGCCCAGGGCCCTGAATTCATGGAGATCCATGAACAGCCGGTGGAGCTGGGCGGATTTACACCCGAGGGGGGTCACGGGGACCCTCCCCCTGCACKCACACACACTTTGTCTTAATCCTCCCCTCCACGTTTTGGAGGCAAGCAAAAACAACAGAGAGCCAACTTTGGGCTGCAGGGAGCACACGATACATCTGCACTCTGACGCTGCCAAGACTCACCCAGAGTGACTTCTTATTTTATTAATGACTGTATAACAAACTGTTGAAAACACAGCTTTGCCATGGAAACACTGGCACGGCCTGTATGTAAATGTGGAGCCAGTGGGTGCTATTTGAGTGCAGGAAATGCACAGCTCCCCAGGGACATCCTTGGGGATGTCCAGCATAGCAACCTGATGGACTGAGCTTAGCACCTTCCAGATGTCCCTCCATGTCCCTCCTGCAAACTCTGGATCTTGGTCAGGCATTTCCACGAACTCTGCAAGAATGACACGTGCCCAGGCAGCCCAGCTGGCTTCAYAGGATCTAAACCAAGCTATGGATCAAGCAAAGATGCAAAGGGAGAGGCAGATACAAGCTGCTCCCACTCTGGTCCCTTGACACTGCTGTGTTTCCCCCATGCAGGGTACCAAAGTGATTGGAGGAGAAGGTACTGCTCAGCACYRMAAARCTTRCTGCTCTTTTATTACCGAGGGACCMGAATATACGATCTCCTCATTAAGAGAGGAAAAAAATATACATGGGGGAGGGATAGAGACATAAAACCACAGAGGCTGTGGGCAGAGCCAWGAACTGTAACTGGAGCTCAGGCAGAACCCCCACATGGGAAGCAGCCAAAGCCACTGATATCCTCAGGCTGTTGCAATCACAGGCAATCGGTTGCTTGGCACATTCTCTCAYTGTCCCAGGATCTGGGAATGCTGTGGCCACGAGGGCCAGGCAGCTGGTGCTCATGTGTGCCCCAGATCTGTGCTCCTGCAGAGTTACCTGAGGAGCCTGGGCTCATTTGCCATCCCCACTGCAGCTGCCTCGCAGGGTTCCTGGCAGTCAGGCCTGACTTTCCCAGGCATGTCAAGCCCAGGGGCACCCACTCCTGGAAAAAGCTGGCCTGAGCCCAAGCACAGGCACTGCTGGGGATTTAATGGTGGGAAGAGCTCTCACAGCACAGCCTCCCTCGCCCCCAGCGCTGTCCCAGTTTAACCCGTCCCCCCAGCCCCACTTACGTTCTGGTCCATGGTCTCGGGGATGAACTCGCCCTCGCTGTTGATGCTGGTGTAGGATCCCTGGCGGGCGATCTGCTGCTGCTCCTCGGGAACGCTGCCCGGCGGTGGGGAGCTCCGGCCAGTGTGCAGAGAGCCTGGGACAGGGACACACACGGGTCAGGGAGGGCACCTGCCAACCCAAATCCTGCCACAAACGCTGCTCCAGTGACCACAGAGCTCCTGGAGATGCTGCTGGGTTTGAMGGTGGATGGGAATGGAGCTAAAAGTGTGATGCTGTTCATGGGCATCCTCCAAAGCTTTGGCAATAGGGACAGTTTGTTACTGTGGGGTCACACAGCAGGTAGCAGACTTGACCTGCAGCACACCCTGGATCCTAGGAGCTGTCACTGCATCCAGGTGCCAGAAAGGAAAGGGTTCTGGCTTTCTGTTGTGACACAATCCATCTCAAAGCAAACYACAAACTCCAGACTCTTGACCTTGACTCTTTGACCTCTGGGCTTTCCCTCCCTGGAGCAGGTCACTGCCTTGTTCAGCCATCCAGGAAACAGCCTGGCTGTGCCCAGTGCAACATCACTGAAACACTTCTTRTATGGAAAAGGATTTGCACTCAAATACCCTCTTCTCCCCTCTTTCCCTATTCCAAAGTAAAKAGAAAGGAAAACCAGCCCTCAAACCAAAAAACTCAGGACGGGAATGACCTATGGGATCAGTCTGCCCTATCTTTTGCCAAGGGAATTGTTTCCTCTGCCTATAACCCCAGAGCCTCTATCCTGTGCATCCCATGCACAGACAGCAAGGCTTCCACYGGCTCCCTCCCAGGGATTGCTTAGCAGAAGGGGATTTCTATCTTGCACCTAGAGAGAACTCCACAGCTTCTTTATGCAGATGTTCCATTCCTCACCTTTATTCCCCCAAATCCACCCTGATTCCTTGTGCCTTTTCCAGCTTTAGGAATTGCTGCCCTTGCTTGGCCCAGCTGCAGTGTCTTGGCTCTGCTTTACTCTCTGCAGTCCCTCCCCTCAATCCTCACACTGTCAACACTTCAGGGCAATGAATTGCTGATGGAGATCCGTGTGGATCCATGCTGGAGCTTCAGCTGGTTGGCATTGTGCAACATGAGCTTTCACACAACAAAACAACTTGTTTTCAAGCAGGCTTCTGCAATGCACACATCCTTGAGGATCTAGAAAGCATGTGGATATGTGTTTCCTTCCATCTCATATCCGTTTCTGGGGCACTCTTGCCAATTTTTGGGTTCATCACCACTGTTTGCTACAATGWGCCTCAGGCTAAGCACAAGAGAAAGGTATTGGGAGGGGGCCTACCCCATAATGAAAMGTTACCACTGATCTATCAACACAACACTTCTGCCTCTTCTGCTGCTATTCTGCACCAGTTCCTGTGCCAGATGGATCTCTGGCATAAATCCATCTGTGTGATCAACACCATGAACCTGAGTTCCCACCTTTCACTTCAGCAGATACACATCAGGAGCTGCTCATGTTAACAGTATCACACCAGCATTAAAGATCATTAAATCAGGCTTTTGTTGCTGGATTTATACCAACACACAGATTTGTCTGTCCCATGCTACATCTTCCTTCTGACTCCYTGCTCGGATTGTAAAAATAAAAGTCATATGGCTTTGRGTTACTTTTTTTTTCCTTCTTCCTATTTTCTCCTTCATAGATTTCCTGCAGGATAAGAACACAGCAAAAAAACTCCAACTGAAGTAATGCCAAGATCAAGAGGAGAGAATCTCTCGAGTGCTGCAGCACTCACAACGAACTGGCTTTCCACCAGCCCTAAAACAAAACCAGTTGGGAAGTACAGCATCCTCTCTTTGAAAAYAAATAAACAAAACTTTTAACTGTTGAGTGGTTTGGGAACCCTGGATAAATCACTGCATCAGCAGCCCCTTGTTTGCTTGGCTGATGCCAACCTGGAATGCAGTACAAGGACATYGGGGTGGCTCTTGCCCTGACAAGCTGATGGAGGATTTTGTGTGGTGTTCCTTAAATGCTGCTTCTTAGCTCTGCTGAGCATTTCTGCTGCTGCAGCGAGGTGGGAGTCTGCTCATGCACTGCTGGGATCTCTTGCTCCAACAACCCACTCATGGCCCAGAAATCCTTTAACTGTGATTTTATAAAGAGCTATACATGCCCTGTTTGACTCAGAACCCAGCAGGTTAAAGGAGATTTATCACAAGCACAAAGACTTCACATGATCTCGCATTAAGCCTTTGCCTGTAACAGCTACTCCCTGCTACAGATCAGCTGTGTTTCACCTTCCAGAGTCACATTTCCTGCCAAAAATTTAAAAGGGGATAACACACCAGCTATTTCCCAGCAGGTAAGGAAATYAAACAAAGTGCTTAGGCTTTTGCATGCTTGGAAACTGCTGGAGTGAACCAGATCCCTTTCAGCCAGGCTGTTTGTGTAGAAGTGCTGCCCWAACTAATTTATGCAGCTTCACACCTCCAGGAGCACTGGTTGCTGCTGTTTTGCATCCATGCCTGGCCATCCACCTGGGAGGAATGTGGGGAGGTGCTGGGAGCAAAGCCCTGGAGCTCAGGGTCTATTCCCCACTTCAGCCCTATCTTTCCCTGTTAACAAAACACCAGGCAATCCCAGTGCTGCTGGAGGAGTGGAGGAATGGAAAACAGTCAGAGAAAGAGTGAAACAGTGATACTTAATGGCAGGCTTAATTCATAGCAGGGAAAACAAAAGGCACGTTGGATATATTGGATAATACCGATTAATCCATCCTGAGGCAGAGGAAGAAACAGAGAGAAAAGCCCAGATGTGCCTGTTTGACACATCACAGATGCTCTTCACACTTGACCTAATACTGAAGAAACAGCAGCAGCACCAGGCAGGGAGAGGAGACACCCAAGGGACTGTCCTGGGGTCTKTGGGATTACATGTCAGCTCCAGTGGGGATGGGGCAGGCTGGGAGGCTCTTCCTTAYAGGCAGAAGGCTGGTCAGATCTCAGCAGCTGTGTTTAGGATTCCTGACCTCAGAGCAACTCTGCAAATTGGCATTGGCTGAGCATCTGACCTCAGATACCCTCTGCAGCAAGGTGCTTTGGGGAGGGACTCCTGCTCCACATTACACACACGAATGTGAAGCCCTATCCTTGAGACGAGAGCACAGCGTGTCCTGAGGACAGAGAACCAGGAYAGCACGGAGCCTCACAGTCACTGCTGGCACCCACTGGGGCCTTTCATGTTCCCTTCTGATATTTTTATTTAAGAAGTGCCTTTCATGCAGTATGTGCAGAGCTCGTGGTGCTGCACGTACAGCCAGTTCCCCTGTGCCAGGCTTGGCTTCCCTCCGCCCCCGCATTCCCTGGCTCCATCTTCCCCTGCTCTTCCCAAAACTTCACCCAGCATCAGGAAGGGAAGAGAAGCCCCTGCAAAGCCAGAGCTGGGGAGGGTTTGCTGGCAGCCTCTGCTCACATCTGCAGCCACGGGGAGCCCAGCCCTGGGATGACGTTCCCGACCGAGGGACGTGACGTCAAGGTGTGTTGCTCCTCCAAACCCTGGCACAAACAGTGGGCTCAGGACAGGGCAGCACAGGAGAAGAGAGAAACCTGCAGGGAATCTCTCACTCTGTCCTGTCAAGGGGAAGTGTGAGCAGATGGACCAAATCTCCCTCAATTTTTTTTCCACTGGGATGCCTGCAAGTCTCYCTCCTCTCCATGGTGATCCTTCTGAGGATGGATTTCTGCATTTCTCCAAGTTGATTTAAGGCAAATTTAGGGTACTTTTATACTAATAAGAAAGACAGAGACTATTTTCTAGCTCTGAAGCAGCTGGCATGATGCACATAAATAAATTTTCCTCCTCAAAACAGAGGAGGTTTCATCCACCCCAACTCCTGCAATATGCCTGGTCTGGAGAGGGCTGGCAGGCACACGAAGCCACGGCCCAGCAGCTTGGTTTTTCATGGAAAAAGAAATAAAATAAAGCTTCTGGCAAATGTTTCCACTGAAAGGGTGATGCTGGAATGGGGCTCTTAAATAATTTATGGATAATGTTCTAAAACATGTATTTCTTCAAAGCAAATAAAAACAACCYTCAGTTATCTGAAAATCCAGAACCCAAAAGGATTTTAGTTCAAGTTTCCTTGCACTTTTGCTGGCCACCAAAAAGCTGGAAGGGGAAACCTTTTTCCACTGAAAAAGGTTTATGGGGAAAAAATAAAGAAAATATTGACTTTGCATAAGGTTTTTCAGGGACATGGTGTGAAGACATTTTCTGCCCAACAGAAGCAAAAATAGCTAAATCTTCCCCAGAACATCTACCTCCCTTCCAATGTGTTTGTGCCAATTACATACAGTTTTATTATTTTTCACTGTTGTTTACATGGCAGAGTCAGCAGAAAAACATGAGACATTTCAGAAACATGGAAAACATGACCCTGAACTACCTTTCATTATAAAATCACTTTAAATCTCCTTTTAAATGTGGTTTCAAGAGAAAAGSTGAACCGAGTTAAGATCCTCTTTTGATAGCAAGCACTTTGATGACAGAGAGAAAACACTGAAATGCCTTATGACTGCAAATGAAGAACAGCTTCTCCTACAGAATTCCCAGCCTCTTAGGATGCCTTTTGACTGTGCACCAAGCTCAATGAAATCCCCACTTTGGGAAACCAAAACACAGCATCATGTCTGTCTGCCGAGTTCCTGACACTCAGTTTTACGCCCCGTTTGAAATGCTGCTTTCCCTTTTCAGCTTGTTGGAGTCTCTGCCCAGAGATCTGGGATTGCTTAGATCTGACTCAGGAGGTCAAAAACACTTCTGCTGGATTGTGAGCACCCCCTAAGCAGAGCTGCAGTAGCTTTGTGCAGACCCCAGATAATCCACAGAGAGGAGTGACCTCCTGTTATCATGCAGAGGGCTTGTTGAAACTTCTGTGCAAGACTGATGGTTTACATGGAAAAGAACCAGAGGAATGGCTGCTGCATGGGCTGGTTACTCTTGCCACCTGACTAGGAAACAGTGCCAAGGACTCTGGTTTTGGTGCATTAGCTCCTGAAAATCCCAATGTCAGCATACGCTGCATCCCACAGCTGGCATTGCCCAGTGYTCCTCCTGTTTCCTTGGCTGAACCAGCATGTTGTGCCCATTCCTCCACTCTGTTCTTCAAGCATTCCCTCAAAATCCTTTTGCACCCCAGGCTCTCCCCCTTGCAGAGCTCATACCTCACCCTTTGTCTGCCTTTTYGTAGTTCAGAGTTCTTCAAGGCAGTGACACCTCACAGTCAGTGGTGCAGGCCTGGTCAGGAACCAGCAGCCCTGAATCAGTAAGGACTGGCCAAAGCTTGGCATAAAAATTGGTAGGAAAGACTCAAATTTGCAAGAACTCATCTTCCCACTAGCACAGCTACAGATGAAATCAATTCTGCTGACCAGGCATGTCAGTGACAGCTCCCAGTGCCACAGCTCTCTGCTGGCTCACATTTACAGACTAACATGTGCCAGAAAAAAAGGGCAGCAGAGATGTTTTGCTCAAGCACTGTTTCTGCTGAGACTCTGTGCTTTACCATGTATTTATGTGTGCCTTTCATTCAGGGTCATCTAGAGACTCTGCCAGACTCTGGGCAAACTCTCRAAAGCCATTTTTTAGGAAAAAAAACAACAGAAAAGGACAATCCTGGTACATCCCAGCACCAGGCTCAAAGAGAGCCCTTGCACATGTGCCACCCATCCCTGGCTTCAGTAAGAGCTCCACGTGTTGGACCTACCCCGCTACCCCAGAAAAACATTTTCTATACATCTTCTCTGAGATGCAGCAAACCACRGGATTTGTTATCAAGGCAGCACAGGCTATGAAACAGAGAAGTGACAAATCCTCGGAGAAAAACACTCATTTGTTGCACAGAGAAGAGTTTGGAAATATTTGCTGCCATATAAGTACAGAGGATCTTTAGGGGATGAAGCATTTCTCCATGTGTATTTCTGAAGGAGGGCCTCACTTTATTCAAGGCTGTCAGCTCTATATCTGGTAAGTACTTGCATGAAAATTATAGGGATCTGTAGAAATTACCCTATAACCTGCACTCACAGACAGAGAACATTCACTGTGAATAAATCATTAAATCCTGCCTGTAGGCTGGAATATGAACCACTATACCCCTGCTATACAGCCCTTTGTGTTGCTTTACCAGTTCTGCACAAGGCACTCTGCTCTCTATAAAATCCTACAAGCTTCTTCTCACAAAAGCTCCTACAGATCCTGCTGATCAACAGGATTTGTCATTTCAAAAAGCTCAGAGTATTTCAAAAAGCAAGGAAAGCATAAACTCAAGCCCAGAAAACCAAAGAGAAGACTACACAAGGCTACAAACAAATCCAGTCCCTGCAGGGCTGCAAGAAGAGACCAGGTGTCTCCCTGCCTGGCTTCAGGGGTTCCAGGCACCTATTCCCAGCACCTCTGAAGGAAAGGGATGCTCCCCTTCCTCTGGCACCACTGCGAAACACTGTTCACATTCCCCTGAGAAACCCCAAAAACAGCTACCACTGATGGAATTTCACCAACAAGAACAGACTGGTGGCACACAGACACATATTTGGTATTCATGGGGTGAAGGTGGTCCCAGCCCAGGAGCTAAGGAGCCCAAGCCCATTTAACTATATTATTCTACCACCTGTGAAGCAGGGACAGATACTGAGGAATAACTGCATCAAGGTCCCAAACAGCCTTGGCTTTCTAGAGATTCTCACTTTTCACTTAGATAAAGCTCAGTAACATCAAATTAATTGGAAACTTTTATCGCTGTGTTTCCCACCCCCAAATTACCCAATTCCCACCCCAGGTGCCCCGTTCTCTTCACTTTTGTGCTCAAATCGACTCTGTTCAGCATAATCTCCCCATCCAGCCTGCAGAATCTATCCCTCAGGCTGAGGATCAGCAGCAACTGCACTGAGTTACTGTAGGAGATATCAGGGTGGCTGTCCAGACTACAACACCCACAGGGGTATGACAAAAAGAAGAGAAGAGGGGTGGTGACCAGGTTGAAATAGCACAAACCACCCCACAGAGCAYTGTGCTCCACTCACCTGTTGAATACTTGCGTGTCCTCTCGGAGTCTTTGTACAGGGACCCCATGATGTCGCCCATGGATCTGGAGATCCTCATTTCATGCTGCTTGCTGTTGTTAGGCTGAAGGAGCTGGTAATCAGACAAAGGGAATGATCAGGCTTGGCCAGAGCACTGTGGACACACCATGTGAAACCCTGTATTTGGCTCCCCATGACCCTATTACCCAAAAAAAAAAAAAAAAAAAAAGAAAAAAAAAAAAGAAAGAGAGAAGACATGCACGTAATCTGTAGCAATCCAAAAACCACTCACAAACAATTCACATCTGTTAATAAAACAGTCTAATAAGATGAGGTTCCCACTGATAATGGCAAATACATATATTTGACATAAAAGACTGCTCCTGCACTGCATTATCTCCAGAYAGATACAGAGACTGATCACTAGACTGAAAACACTTGCAATCCCAAAATCAGCACCTCTCCTCCATGCTCCCTAGAYTCCAGGGACAGACTAGGCACTGCAGAGGTTCCTCTGTGACAGGGCAGAGGAATGGAGAGTGGAAGGTCAGGGAAGAACAAAGAAATGCATATCCAGCTGGTGACTTGGCAGTGGTCAGGTTTTTACTAAGACCACACGCTACAGGGAGCTGTGATTTTGTGATAATTTTATGCATAACCTCAGAGCTGTGTGCTCTCACACACAGGAGCACGGCCTCGAGCTTCAGGAAGAGATGGAGCTGCTTTTAAAGGCAGGCAGGAATTCTACCTGGCTGCTCTGCTCTCGGCAGCTGGCTGCAATACTGCCGTGTTCCCACAGCTGCCAGGGCATATTGCCCTATATCCACACAAGCTTTAGGAAAACCCAGCTGATGGCTCAGTTTTCCCCCGGGATTCTGGTCCCTGCACTTCCCCAGCCTCTCAAAAGGAGTGGAGAAGCTCCAGGGGCTGTGAACACCAGCAGYAGTGTGAGGATGAGCACTGCGAGTTTCAAGCCTCCCAGCCTCTCCAGTACTTCTAGGAAATAGAAAGAAGAAACAAGAGTTGCAACATCCACARATCCCTCGCTTTAGAGCCCGTGCTCAGGGCAGCACGACGTGTGCTTTGGCAAGACACACTGTGCAAGCGAGGTCAAGCTAACAGGCTTAGCTGCAAAATCACTGAGCTCAGAAAAAACGAATAAATAAATAAAGATGGAAAAAACCCAGACAGTTCTGCATGAGACTGAAGGATTCTCCAGTTTGCTCTTCACAGCCTTTAGCATGGCAGCAGCACGTGGAGGGGACAGTCCCCATGCTGCCACCCAGCACAGCAAGGACCAGGGCATCACCCTGATCAGAGAGGAGAGGTGACAAAGGAATGGGGGCAGCATCCCCAGGAAGAAAGCTCAAGGGGTTCTCTCAGGGTTTAACCTTGTTTGAAGGTCAGTCTGGTATTTAACCCTTCACAGGATGCAGGAAGAGCCAGAGGGAGCTGAGCTCGGCCTCAGCATCACCGCCACAGGAAGATTCCCAAACAGCTGAGCCAGAGCAGGGCTGACCCCGCTCATAACCAGCCTGGCCTCTGCTCTGCACCGTCAGGAGACTCTTTTCCACTCCCCAGCACAATAACAAGGCATCTCACTCCGGACACAGAGGAGTGGAGAAGGTGAAGGGCTCACATTCGCTTTCTTTGGAGCGCTCACAAGGATCCGCAGGCTCTTCAGGGAAGGGCTCAGCTCCAACTGTTCCATCGCTTTGTCCAAATCTTCCTGGGATTTCAGTGGGATCAGGAGCTGGAAGGGATTAAATAAACACGGGAGAATGGCAATGTCACACTTTTGGGTAAACAGAAGAAGCCCTCTCTTACAGGGAGCAGCCTGGGAAGCGGGGGATGAGGGAGGAACCCAAGGAGGCGATGGAAAACGGAGCCCCCATGCCCTCCAGCTTGCCAAGCTCTAACGTTTTCTTCCAAGTYCTCATCTACCGAGGAACAGATGCACAAAAATCACAACAAACAACATCTGCAAGGAGAAAGCTTAAAGGTCACACCAGCAATCCAGCTAGTGRGAAAAGGAGAGGGCTGGGATGAAACCTTGGGCTTGCTGCCTGCTGCTCTGATTCTGTAGGACCTGCTGCTACCCAGCCCCAAAACAACCCCACTTGGTCTTCCTGGGAAGATGGTCATGCAGAGGTGCTCCAAGAAACCTGGGYGAGTTGCATCTGACTCTGGTAGATGCTCAGTGCCCTTCCCTACTGCTGCAGCCTGTGCTCCTGCACAGGCACAGCTTCCCCAGCATCTGGCCATCAGGTGAAACCAGARAATATCCCATAAATCAAAGTCTCTTCCCTTTTTATGTGAAAGGTGTGCACTGCTCTCCTCCCAAGAACCACTTCTTTCACTCCCAGCAGGRCAAATTCACCTTCTGCTCTTTATAAGAACAGGATTGCACAGTGCCACATCTGTCAGGCAGCATAAAGTCCTGATGTTTCCCTGGGAAATAGCAGACTGTGCCCTCATACCTCCACAGGGAATGTGACCCTCYCCAGATGGCTGTGTGGTGTACCATGTCCTGCAGACAGCCTCCAACGCCCAACACAGCTGCACTTCAGAGGAGCTCTGCGGCCTTCTGCTGCCCTGRGCTAAGATTAAAAGCACAACTTCTTGCCCCTCTTTCCGGGATATTCTGCCTAATTTCATCCCAAACAGGCCCTTGCCTCTGCAGGTTGCCTTGGGCGCTGAATCCAGCCAACACAGCACATGTTATTCTCATGCCTGTGCCAAAGTACACTGTWACTCCGCTGACCAAAGGCAGCGAGCAGCCACAGCTCCCAGCAGGCTCTCACTGGTCTTACTGGGAGCCACAGCTTCCCAGAACTCCTGRAAAGTGTCTCAGCCATCTGGGGGATCAGAGTTGTGCCACCAGCCACAGCAAACCCACCTCAGAGCAGCCCCACACAAGACAACACTCACAAGATCACTGGGACAGCCTTTTTGATCCCAGAGTGGTGCCAAGGGCTTGGCTCTGGGCCTGTGGGCAAACACACCTCAGACTGTGTGAGCTCGGCCTGACGGCTGAGAAAGCCAGTGATCTCCTGGGATGCATTGGGAAGAGCATTCCCAGCAGGTCAGGGAGCGATCCTGCCCCTCCGCCCAGCTCTGTGAGGGACATCTGGGTGCTGTGTCCAGCTCTGGGATCCTCAGGACAKGAGGGACATGGAGCTACAGGAGTGGGGCCAGCAGAGGATACAAGGAGGATCAAGGGGTTGGGACATCTCTCTTGGTAGGAAAAGCTGAGGGAGCTGGGGCTGTTCTGCCTCAAAAGGAGGCACTGAGAGGGGACCCCATCCCTGTGTGTCCCTGTCTGCAGGGAGGGATCAGAGCAGGGCCCAGGCTCTGCTCCAGGGGCCCAGCAATGGCACAGGATGAACGGGCAGGAACTGTTGCTCAGGAAATTCCACCTGAACGTGAGGAAGAACTTCTTCCCTGGGCAGTGCCCAAGCCCTGAAAAGAGACCAGAGAGGCCTGTGGAGTGTCCCTCACTGGGGATATTCCAGACCATCCAGACACAATCCTGTGTCATGTACTTCCCTCTCAAAGGAGGCTGGACCAGACAACCCACTGTGGTCCCTTCCTATCTGACCCATTCTGTGATTTCCTCTCATCCTTCGTTCACATTTGAATGAACAGCCTGTGCTTCCTGCAGCTACCAGATGAAGATGGTATTGAATATGACTCCCTAATGCAACTCTCAGCCTGCTRCCTTAAGTAGCAGAGGTGGAGAGACACTCTTGGGGCACTGCTTGACCTTCTTGAAGCTCACAAAGGCTCCACAGCAAGGCTCTGCCCCAAGCAGACAAGACTCCTTCCTTACGCTCACCCAAACAGAACTGAGAATGGTGGAGAGCTGCACTCCCTTGTTTCACCACCAAGCAGAACTTGACTCTGAGCTCCAAGCACAGCCCCACTGCTCACCCACCCCTTCACTGAGCTCCTCAAAGCACTCAGAGCAATCCTCCAGCTGCCGCTTTGAACAGAATGTTCTGTAGGTCACTCCATCTCTCTCCAACATCACAACATGAACATGTTTGCGCGCCTCCCTCAGAGGAGCCAAAAACATCAGGGAGAAATTGCCCTCTTTGAAAGGGACTGGAGCCAGTATTTAGCTTGGCTTTACCTTTTACCCACATCTGGCAAGAAAATTCCGCACAGTTTGGCTTCCAGACTGTGGCACATTGGGATATCGGGAACGGGTATCTGCTAGGCATGAAACTCAGGACAGACTCATGCAGAAGCATGGAAGTCACTGCCAGGGTGGGTTTCCAGTAACTGGGTTTGTTTGACCTAAGGACTGAGCAGCCACGATGAACAGCTAAGTTTACCTACACAGAATTTGCACTAAATTGAGCTTTTATATTTTCTTCTTGCTTTTAAACAGTATCCTCCCCTGGAGCCTGATGTTTTAATGGGGGCCTTGGTGGTGTCTCCASTGCAGGTTGAGAAAGTGAGAGCAAAGGGTGAGGTTTCACCAACTGCAGCAGCGCTGCCGGACCTCACTCCGTAAGACACCACAGAAAGCCAAAGAATTGTAGGAAACAGGGTTGGGGAAAAATTTGAGATGTCAATTAGTTCATCTTCCTGCCCAATGCAGGACCAACTGGCATCAACAATTCTCAACAAATGTTTGTTAAATACGCTTTTATCTCCTCCCTCCCCCCCATAATGGTGCTTCTACCACTTCCCCAGGCTTTAACTCTCCCTAAGTTATGATGATGCTAAGGACAGCCTCGGAGGAGACAAGGGGAGGTCAGCAGGGAGGTGGTGGCACATCAAGGTTCAATGCTCTATCCAAGGTCACAGCACAGGTTGGTGTCCGTGCTGCCCCTGGCCAGGCCAGGCTTTGCTGTCCCACTCCTCAGGAAGGCGAGCCCAGCCTAGAACTAACACAGACCTGGCCCACGGGGGACACCCATGGCCAGGCCYTGCTCTTATCTCCACCAGCCCCAGCCTGCTGATTCCATGGTCCCACCAGGATGTGATTCATGCATGCCCCTGCTCCACCCAGCTGGCATGCTCATCTCACGGATCCTGGCTCCAGGACTCCTCCTCCACCAGGACAGGGACTGCCACTCAGTGGGATTTTGCAGGGGCCTGCTGACCTCAGGGTAAATTTTATCTACAAGGTGCTACCATAAGACAGCAACAAGAATCACTGCACAATTCCCTCACAGCATAAAGACAGGGTGGAATATCGAACTGCAATGAGTCTGTGGTCACGCTCCCTCTAAGACTGGCAGTGATGACACCCAAAACCCCGACCCAGGAGCCAGATGCTGGGCTGTCACCACCTGGACATTTAGGCTGTGACCCCAAAGATGACTCTTGTCTGTTTATAGTGTTTCCACAGTAACAACCCTCAATTATTACTTCTCCGACATCTTCCCAAAGCTGTGAATTCTCATGAGGTAGAATTTTTATGTATAGAAAAACAACGTACTGGAAGTCATTGCCAGCCCTAAGAAACCAGGAATACCCAAAGGCCAGCTCATGGTCCTGCTGTGTGCCGTGCACATGCCCACAAAGACAGTCTCTAACATGGGATAAAATGCATTATTTAAGCTTCTGTTTGCTGTTGTTGGACAGAAATCCTCTTCCAGTGGAAAGAAACCTGGAATGAAATGAGTCATTCCTGGAGAATTCAATGGCAGGCTTTTCCCGGGAGGGCTGTCAAAGAATGCCCAAGATTAGAAACCTGACTGCATTCAAAGTCAAAACCCAGTGGACACTTTGCTATCATGAGGCACCTACTGTAAAAGAATAGCAACTTTTTTTTGTGGAGCAAATCTCTATTGAAACAGAAGGGAGAAAATAAGAAAGGGGGTAGAAAACAAAGAAAGCTCATTTCAGGACCTCTCTTTTCATTCATGCTTTGATCAAAGGCTGTAGGTCATCTGCAGTGAATATTTGAAGAAGCCAGCTGTCAGGACAGATCCAAAAGGATCTGTGTTTAAAAGCCCACCTCTCTGCCATTTGGCCCTCTCCTGCTTCCCACAGCCAAACTCACCCTGAGAGTCCAGGGGCTCCAGATGCCTGCCCAGCTCATGGCAAGATGCCTCACAAGAAAACACTGAGCACACCAAAACAGGTGCCAAGGATTTCCCCCTTCTGGCAACAGCCCTCAGCAGGACCCTCCTTTCACACACAACGCTGGGCTCAAAGAAAAAGTGGGAAAAACACAGAGGCCTGTCTGATGAAGGATGGAGGAGAAAGATCTTCAAGCCTTAAAATGCAGGGATTGCAGAGGGAGGGTTTCTTGGCTGCTTTTATGTGGCCACAGGACCTGCTGGAGGAACATTCAGTGATGCACATTTCACTGCAGAGCCAGCCACAAGAATGTGCACATCGTGCTGGGGGTTTGGGTGAGACAAAGTCAGCGCTGGATAAAAGAACACTGTGTGAGCAGCACTGTCCCTCCAGCTCTGCACTTCACGCTCCTGCAATTGCCCCCGAGGTGGGAAGACTTCACATCCCCATCTAAGTGAGGGGGATCTTCCGTTCTGGGGAAAAGACAATGTTCCTGTGTAACAGGCCTTACTTGAAATAATTCTGAGAAGGGAAAAGTCTGGATTGGAGACTGAGAATCCATCTGAGCTGTGTCCAGACAGCAGCTCTTGTGCACTSACTAGCTGGGAACTACAAAATCAGGTTCTTTTTCTTCACATCCAAGTAAAACACAAAATCAGGGCCTTCAGAACAAACCACTGCTCAATCCTGAAGTTGGCACCAGGCACCTTTAAGCTGCCCCCCAGCAGTAAGGAGAAGAGTACCTCATTGTTCACACAGACCAAGTCCATCGTCTGTCCAAAAGCATCCGTGACCTTCTGCACCACTTCTTTGAACTTGACTGGCCTTGGAAACTGGATAATCCTGTGTACACAAACAAATACAACAGGCTCAGATCAGTAGAAGCATATTGGAATTTGGGATTTGACTGACAGTGCAGAAGAAAGGACCTGTGTTCCATCATGAGGCATAAAGCCTGCTCAATGCTTTTGCACTCACAGCAACRCTGCTCCTCTGCTGTGCCCAAGAGGGGACTGGACTACCCTGCAAGAATAGCCACCAAAAACCCTGGTGAAGCTCCTCTGTTGCTCCCTCTAATGAGAAAAGAAGAAGAGGTGGAAAAGGAGAAATTCCAGCAGCCCTTCACTGGAGAAAACCCAGATCAGGCACTGGTCAGTGATTTTGCACCTCCATTTTCAGCAAAGGGCTCTGAATAAGGAGGAGGGTTGGAAGTGGGGATGGTGCAGTTCRGCACCCTTGGACTCTCCTGCACCATCACATGCAGCACCTCTATGGGTATGTACAGCAGGTACAGCCTAACACTGCAATAACACWGCTTAAATTTTCTTTGGCTTTAACATGCATCTTGGACCATCAGGACTGTGTCCTGCCCTGTCACAGTCACCAAGAACCAAGCAGAGGTGATTCCATGAAAATGTCAAGCAGGGAAGGGCCGACAAGCTTTAACTCCCAGCCCTATTTTTATGGGACCCGTGCCCAAAATCCAGTTATCTTAAGTAAGTGTCATGGACTGCTAATCAAAGGACACATTTCTGTAGAGTTCCAGCTCTGCTGTGGTTCAGCAGGGCTCAAGAATTAACAAGAGAAAAGGATCCAAGCGTGTGTCCCTGTAAAAGGGGCATTTAATGACTTCCAGCTTGGAATCCCTTTGCCTCCGTGCGAATCCCAAGAGTTCCTTGTGGCAYGGGGATGAGGAGGAAAGGCTCTTGCACATTAAAACTGTAGCTGATTTTAGGGGAATGAAGCCTGCTGTGAGTCATGTGCAGCTGGCTCAAGTCAGCAGGACAGTGTTGGGTGGAAAAGGTAATTTGTTCCCGTATTCATGGYACCTACCTTTTCTCTCCTTCATATTCAAACTTGATCCTGACATTCCTCTGCTGAAAGAAAAAGCAGAAAATGGTGAGGTCCCAAACAGCATCCTGGGTGGACTTGTAGATCCAGAGCTGTCAGGAGCTCTCAGGGAGACTCTCCTAACTCCTCAGGCTTTTCTGTTTATTTAGGGCCAAGTTGCCTGCTGGACTGACAGACTTTGGGGACACTCCTTGCTGACAAATGTGCTTGTCAAAAAATAAGTTCTTCTGTAAGCAAGAAGACACTTGGCTGTGTAACTGCTAGTTTTAATAAAATGCATTCATAAAGTGGAAAATAGCCCTAAATGCACTTGGGAACAAGGCACTACTATCAAAGAGGCCAACATGTTAAGTGTCTGATGCCTGTCCACCTTCAGCACTTTCCATGGTTTTACTCYAGTACTTTTCTGTTGGAAACCCAAAACCCAAAGCTCAGAGGATGTCCACAGAATATCTAGGGCAAAGAATTCAGAAGAAAAAGCAAGTATTCTTTAATGGAAGTGAAGACAGATTTTGAAGCCAACAATGCTAGGATGGTTGTAGGGCTGGTTGCTATTTTGTTAGGAGCTACAAAATGCAAAGTGTATCGAGCCCAATACACAGCACACAGCAAATGCCCACCCTGAACTGACCCATGGCTCACCTCAAGAGAAGCCTCAGAATCTGCCCAAGTCACAGCACACTGGGCACACAGCTGTGCAGGAACCAGTAAAAACCATTTCTCCCATCCCCTATTTGTGCATATTTAGCAGCAATCAAGACCACAAGGAGCCTTTTCATGCATTTGGCTCCTCAGACTGCGCCTGAGCCAAGCATCCCTCCAGCATCCCTTAGATCATCCCAGGACTTTCCGACGGCCTCCAACGCAGATCAAAACCCTTTTTACTTCCCAGACCAGGTCTAGTCACCCCACYTAACCAGCATTTTGCCCCCCACGGTGCCCACCAGCCTCCTCAAACAGTTCTCTTCCCATGCAGAGAGTAGTGCTGGCCTCCTCCCTCCGAGGTGTAACCCCAGGGAGGGCTCGGTCCCGCGCCACCGGCATCTCACAGGGATAACTCCCAGCTGGGTGGGTGACAGCCCTTCCTGAGCACAGGACTTATCTCTGGGCCTGGGCTGCCAGCGTGTGAAGGCACACTTTCCATCCTCTCAGAGGGAATGCAGAGCTGCAGCAAAACAGCTTTGTTTCTAATGAGGAAAGTGAGCTGGATGGGCGCCCTCCGGTTTATTTTTAAACTGACAGCTCCTCAAGTTCTGCAAACACCAAAATTCAGGAAGTCAAGGCTGTAGGCAATTCTGCTGAAAAGCTTTAAAACATTTTTAAAAAACCCCAACAGATTCGGGGTAAACACGTTGGATCACCCAAAATGCTTTCTTGTTATCTCTGCTTGTGGCATTTTCTGTGTTTCCRGAAGGGCTGGGAACAACCAGTGCTGGGACAGTCACCAAATGGGGCACTCCAGATGTGATACAGGCCTGTGCTAAACAGGCACTTACATCACCTCAGTGTCTACAGCCAGTTCTCCAGACCCACAAAGTCTGGACAATCTCCAGGTTCATTTCTAGAACCAGGCCCAACTTGTAAAAATACCAGATTAATTCTAAACCAGTTCAGAATTGAAAAGGAGAAGAGATGACCATAACCAACCTAGTGCTGAAGGTTCAAATCATTCTGGAGAGACAAGTAAATATAGGTGGGATTGGCACCTTGTATTATCTTGTTGGAAAAGAAGAGATACAGGCTCTTTTATGCCAATTTTTATTTGCACATGCCTCTCTGAGCAGGTCTGGCTGGTTCATCCCTCCTGGATGCTGGCAAGAAATTGGCCAGTGTGGCTTCACTGACTGTAACACCACAAAATCCTTCTCTAAAGAAAGACAAGAAAAAAAAAAAAATCAGGGCAAGGAACTTTCGAGGTTTCTCCTTACAAAGGCGCAGGACGTGGAAGGGGAAGAGCTCACACAGCTCTGGCCTCGCTGCAGGAAACCTTTCAAAATACAGGTTTCACTTTCAGCACAGCCCCRAACACTGCACCGAGCTGGGATGTAGCACACGCTGCCCGGCTGTGCTGAGCAGCATGGATTCCACGGACAAACAAGTTTTGAAAAACAGCTTGTGGCTGGAAAATGTCAGAACACTCGTCTAAAGCTCCAGAGAGAGAAGAAAATGAAAAAAAAATGAGCCACGACCCTGCTGCATCCTTTTCTTCTACATCAACAACAAGGCTGATGTGCCATGGCCCGACGCCAGCAGAAGGACGCCAGCTGCCCCACGCTGCTCTGCTCTGCTTCTGAGCAGAGCTACAAACACGCTGCCTGCAACAGGGGAATGAAAACCCACTTCATTTCTTAATTAGATAAGATTTTTCTTTCATATAAAACACACTAACCTCTTGCCTCCCTCAAAGAAACCAAGACCTTTAGCTCGCAAACATTTGGAAGAGGGATAAATTCATATTTATCAGTCTGAGAAGCTGATTACAGTTTAATTTTTCAGGCTTTCCTTGGCTTGCTCATGTTTTTGACCCATGGCTCAAGCTGAATTAATCACTCCTATCAGCAACAAATGCTTTTTTTCCTTTTTTAAAGAAAAAAAAAGAAAAAAAGAGTGGGCAGTGCCCGAAGTACTAGGAAATCTCAGGGGATGCAAAGCACTTCCTAAATGCTGGAGCAGGCTGTGATTTTTTACACCCATGGAAGTCTGGTTTGGAGCAAGCGGTTTAAGATTACGCAGGGAGCCTGGGGCACTGCCAAGTGCTGGAGCAGAACCTCATGTGAGTCTGTACCCAGAGTCCCAAATGGACAATCAGGGGCAAGGCAGAACCAGCACCTTCTCCGTGAGGATCTCAACACAGCGCACGAATTCTGAGGTGGAAGAGGTGTGGGTGATGGAGGCTGCTRGGTCCCAGTCACTTTTGCAATTTTGCGAAGAATGTGACTCCCCCTTGCACAATCCAGGTTGTATTATTTACTGTCCCTGCCATCAGGTGTCACATGAGGTCAAGGGCAGCCCTGCTCTCCTTCTGTCAAGAGGTCCTTAGTTGGTGTAGGAGAACAAGCTGAGCCATCCAATGGCTTGTGTTAAATACAGCACAGGAGAGAGGGGGAAGGCCAGTCACAGGCACCAGCCTTGAACCCCGAGCTCTGGCAGAGCATTTAAACAGCATTTTCATCAGCACTGTGAGAGCTCAGTCAAGTAATGGAGCAAGAAAGGGAAACTGAGGCATGAAGGCAGAAGGGGCTTCGGCTAACGGCGTGGAGAGAAAGCCCAGCCTGAGGAGGAGAAGGCTCCATGGACACCTTATTGCAGGATTTCARTATATAAAGAGGGCTTTATGAGATGGAGAGAGACTTTTACCACRTCCTGTAGAGACTGGATTAGGGCAATGGTTTTAAACAGCAAGAGGCTAGGTTGAGATTGGATATAAGGAAGAAAYTTTCTGTTATTGGGCTGATGAGACACTGGAATAGGTTGCCTATAAAAGCTGTGGATGTCCCATCCCTGAAGTGCTCGAGGTCAGGCTGGATTGGGAGACCTGATCCAGCTACAGACGCCCCTTCCCACAGCAGCSAGGCTGGGCTTCAAAAGCCTTCCCAGCCCAAACCATTCTGTGATGCATTCCATGGAGGCAAAGACTGGTAGGGAGAAGCACAGAATTGAGGTGCTTGGCCTCCTGTGCTGCACGTACCAAGCMACCTTCCCCGTCCGCATGCGTTTCCGCAGGGCACGGGGGAGCCCACGGCCCGGCTGGCGCCTGCAGACCCTGCTGCGACACAAACAAAACCAGCGACAGCCCCGACAGGAAATACCACAGCCATTCTCTTCGTTTCTACAATAATTTCTTCTCCAAAATACTTGTACCGGCATTTCCTCCAGCCCTGCAAACAAATGGTATTTTACTCTTTCTTGCCATATTCCTCCAAAAGGAAAAAGCAAAGCCACTGCCGTGGCCACAAAGCCATCACCATCTTTCCAGGCTTTTCTTGAGGTATTTTTAGCTCCTTCCTCAAAACTACTAATTTCACAGAGAAAAGACTATAACTGCCAAGCTGCAGAGAGGGAATTCAGATGGGGATTTGGGGGGGAAAGGGGCAACTGCTTTTGCCTCTCTCAGATGGGGACCACGTACCCTGGCGGGCTTAGCCAAGCTCAGCCTTCAGAGCTGGAGGAACAGCCCTGTGTGCTGGTTTAGATTAAGGAAAACGTTGGAAGAAAATGGAAAAAGTGTTTCCAAACGAGGTGAATCATGATCTTATACAGAGATCCCTGAAGAGCTGACTGCTGTTTGTAATAAAAGCACACACGGAGAGCAGGAAAACAAACGGTCAGTCCTAAAATGGAAGTGGCTCCAGAGGAGCAGGTTCTGAGCACCCTCGCTGCTCTACAGCCACAGGGCTGGTCAAACTGGGGTACAAGTCCAAGCTGAGCAGTGCCCATGGAGAAAGATGTCTAATGGCAGAGGCAGGCAGGGAGCCAGCYCTGCATCTCCACACCTGCCCATGCCACTGAAACACCTAAAACTGCCACTCTGCAAAATCCCAGACCAGCACAAATTCAAAGATTCCCCCATCATGTCCTCTCCTCCTCCTAAACTYAGCTGCCATCAGAAACAGCGTTCTGCCCAGATCCCATCTCTGTGCTTTCCTTTAAAGCTGCTCCTGTCCAATCTCACCAGAGGACAGCTTTGCCCACACTGAGACATCACAGACATGGGGTTTTGGAGTACTTCTCCCACCCAAATCCATGGCTGCCTCACAAACCAGCTGAGACAAAGCCTCTGACTTCAACATTAACCCTTCCCTTCTGCAGTCAAGAGGCAGGAAAAATAATCACAAAGGGGGCCTCCTGTTCGCTTTGGTGCTCCAAGAGGGGCTTATTCCAGCCTTGCTCATATCCACCCACGAGACCCCAGGCACTTATTTTGCCTCAGTTTTCACCCTGGCYAATATAGGGGCAATGAAATACACCCACTTTTGCATGCCACAGGGTAATCAGAGAGACTGTTTTCACTTCTCTTATTTTCTGCTCGCTGGATTAGGAAACAATGAGAAAACCCCGCGGAGCCATGCAGGCATCAGCGCTCGAGTTACTCCCCTCGCACAAAGCCACAAAGCGGTGGGATTCCTCCTCAACTCCTGGCTCTGGCCAAGAGGAATCAGCACCACAGGCCAGGCTAAGGGGACTCCTACGCTCGCCCAAGGTGCAGCTGTTTGCATCAGCCCCGTGTTCGCCCCTGCCTTCGGCAGCGGGACGTTCCTTACGCGCCAGACAGCTGGAGCGCGGCCCCAGACCGCAGGAGGAGATGACTAATCCACGTCATTGGGAATTATCTGCACAGAACCCCCACGCATGCCGCGTTATTCAGCAATCAGACAGAAAGAAGTTTGTCTGGCATTGCCCCCTTCTCCTTTCAGGGGTGGAAAGCACAATTTATCCTGCTCCCCTCGGATCCTTTTAGCTTTTTTTCCTCTGAAAGCAAGTCCAGCACCTGAGCAGTTCAGAGGACAGTGGAAAGATGATTTCTAGAAGGTTCACTGCTGCCTGTTACAGATATTTCTAGTTTAGACAGCAGCAGAAATCACAGACTTCAAAATGTTTATCTAAAACTACCCACCTGGCAGGGAATAGCTTTTTCCCAGCTGGATTTCTCATTGGTATCACCCTCTTTGCACCCAAATCAGCCCCACATGCAGCCTCTTAAATCTTTGGGACTCCACTGCCTTTGCCATCTCCAGCCAAGGCCTTCCCAGGCAGTGCTGCTCCGCCTTGGCCCCTTGTTTCTGCTTCCCAGGTGGGGAAATCCCTGCAGATGCCCTCATAGAGACTCCCATCTTCTCCTACCCAAATCACATTCCCCAAATGTAAAACAGATTAAGGGACAAAGCCAAACTCCTTTTTTAGGCTGCTCAAAGACCCACAGAGAGCCCTGCAAAATGAGTTGCATTTTACTGGAGTTATGAGCAAGCTTTGTCTCGTATCCAACTTGCCAAAGAGAAGAGAGTGCAGAGGGAATTTACTAAAAGAAMAGCTTTTAGGACAGTCTGACATTTGATGCATGCGGAAAAACATTTCTTACAAATATTTAATTGCCGTGGGAGAACTTGCCACCGTGATTAAGGTGGCAGAGAAACTGCTGGCTGTCATCAGCCGTGACAGAAGCCCCGTGACAACCAGCTTCACACTGCCAGTTGCCAAGTGCTATTTATAGAAATGAATGGATGTGGACATAAATAGATGCAAAATAAATGCCAATTTAATTGCTCTTTTCTCCCTCCATCCTTTTGTTYAGGATGTCTTAATTATTCGGGGTTTCCCTTCTTATTCTACTCRTATTTTTCCTTCATGAACACAAAGCAGACCTTCATTCTTCTGTTTCCTCCTTTCCCTCTTTAGAGCCATTTCTATAAACAAATTCCTTTATTCAGGCCAAGAGATTGGCTGAAAGGACTCCTTCCAGCCATGCCAGAGGATGCACAAGGAATAACRGAGCGATAAAAGGAGTAACAAAGGAGTACCAGTGCAGAAGTTGCTCTAGGAATATTGTCAGAATGATCCCTCTGCTCCCAAAGAACGGCYCCACTTTAACTCACATGGGGAAGGAAAAGGATGTCCATGTCTGTCCCTAAACCCTTCCTTTCCACAGGGCAGAGAGGCAGKATAATGTAGGGGCTGACACACCTGATTGAGACTCAGGAGATTCCAGCTCAGTCACCACATCTGYTGCCAGCTGCCTGGGCAATCCACATCATGCTGTTTTCATTTCCAGCCTGTTCTACCACAAGGCATCYTGAAACCCAGCCTCAGCCCCGAACTCATTTTTGAGGAAAGAAAACTAAGAAAAGAAAGACTTTTATGAAATTTGCCAAAGGATGTTCATTTCTCAAGACGATCTGAAGCACAACTATCGATATTTCAGGAAAGAAATGTTTTGGAGCACACACCACTACAGGCTGTTTTCTTGTGTGGCCCAGGCCTACCAGGAATACAATCTGGCAGGCTTCAAATTTCAACTTGTGTCAAGAGAGCACTAAGGAAGCCCTCCAGGAGACAGGAATGAGATAGCACTTCGGTTGTGTTTCTCCGTGTACCAAAAAAATGCTGCAAGCCACAGAGAACGGGCTAGTTAGCCAAGACATTCTTGTTTAACTGTATCTTTCAGTGGAAATCTGGAACACTGACTAAAGGATTCCCATGCCTCAGAAAAAACATCTTTCCCCAGAAAAAAAGAAAWATTATTTTATTAATCTAASAACTGAACTCCCAGACTCAAGTAGTTCAATGTGAGCACGTTGCTGCAGGGCCTCATGAGAGGCACCAACGGTGAGATGACCAAAAGGACATTTTACCTTCAAAATGTCCCCAAGCCTGAATAAGACAAGAAGAGAAACTGTGCAGGGCATCCTTCAGCCCAGGCAGCCAACCTAATCACAGGAAAAAAAAAAAAGAAAAATAAAAGAGAAAACCAAGTACCAAAGGAACAAGAAATCACTGGCATGATGACAGCATTTCAAAAGCCATCTCTCCCCCACATCAATTTCTGTCCTAAAAAAACAAGGAAAAAAAAMCCCTAAAAGTGACCAAACAAGTTGATTAAACTGAGCTGCAGACATGAACCAAGTCCGCACTAATTCCACCGCCTCTGGTCACTCCCCACCTCCCAAAGTCTACTCCCGCCGTCCCATGAGCCAGATGTGTTCCAGCTAATCCAATTTAGTGAGGCAACAATTCAACATCCTCCAACGCCCTTCACCTCCTGGGGCCTGTTGGTCTGAACCCTCAGCTCAGGATGAGTTTGCGGAGAGCGGGATCCCGACCATCCTGACCTCTCCTCAATCACAGAGCTCTGAGCAACCCTGAGCATGCAGCTACGGCTGCTCCACTTACAAATAAAAAAAAAAAGAAATCACAAAGGAAGAGGTGTTTTTCTAAGCATCAGTGCTGCAATGAGAGGGAAAATTTGATTCCTGCTGTAATAAAACTAAGCACAAGTGACAGCAAACTATTCTAAAGCTGTTATCAGAGCACAGCATCACTCTATTGGTGATTTATAAATGAAGATGCAGTGTGGATGAGCTGTGGGCATGAACTTGACTGCAAGATGTCTACTTTGTGCAGATAAGAATTCAGCCAATGAGAAGTATAGTTTTCCTTATTTTTGACTAATAATGTTAGTCAAAGATTAACGGTGTATATGCCGCATTTACAGCCCGGTTCTCAAAAACCACAGCAGGGATTTTCCCCCAYTGCGCAAAACAAATGTTAGTTAAGAGGAGTCAGAGAAGCTTTGCTACCCGCTACCTGAAAGCGACCCGAGCTGGCTCGGCACGGTCCCCACCCATCACCGTGAACAGGACGCTGCCCTCGGAGCCATCCAAAGCTGCACTGGGCTTTCTGCTTCGCCTGCAGCTGCAGGGAGCCAGCCCCGAGTTCCTCTGGTCAGCTCTGTCAACATCTTGGCCTGATTTCAGCATGAGCTGAACACAAACCCAGTGATTCAACTTGGACAGCTGCTACTGCCAGGACACACTTTGAAACAAGACGCGCTACGTGCGCACGTGTTTTCGTMTGCATGTGGCTGGGCAGTCCGCGGGGATTCGGGAAGGGATTTTTCCTCTCTGCACCCAGACTTCTTTGTTTGCAGCACAAGTGCCATTAAAAATGCATGACAACAGTAAATGACAATTTGTCTTCTCCCTTGCTAGGCATCTAGCAATCGCAGAGTTGACTGCAAGCTYGTTCTTGCAGCACTAGAGGTGGCATTCCAGGCAGATTTGCTCCCATGCTTCTCCAGCAGCTTCCCAGTTGTTCTAATCTTTCTCCCTGCTTTTTCCTTCCTATTTTGACAACTGAATTCTTTCTTCACAATTTTCACATTCAAAGAATATTTGTTCCATACACAAACAGTCTATTAAATCCACTTCAGCTATTGTATCGATGTCAGCAAATAATCTCTGACATTGCTCAAGGGACAATGTTTTTTGCTCACCAAAACATCTCTGAATGTGCAACAGGGCTAAAACATTTGGGTTTAGGAGCATAAAGATAAACAGCAGTAATTTTTAATTAAACACTTTATATAAGAATGACATTATTCCTCCCCAAAGAGCCTGGGTGTCTACAGCTCAAAGTTGGCAGTCTGTCTTTCAAACATCTGAAGTAAAATGTGCACATAATAAATACTGTATTTCATGAACGCWGTCAATAGAAAACAATTGACTTGTCCAAGTCCTAAAGCTGCACAGCCTGAAATGAGTTGCGCTACTTTCAGAACTAAACAATAGTTACAAGTGCCTTGATGCAGGAACTGAGACTTAAACTCAGTTTCAGGCTAAGTTGTTATATTTGTGAATAATTTGGGGCTTCACTCTTCTCTGCTCCTCGATGATGTGGGGGAGCCTACAACTTCCTTTCAGCTCTTCAAAAAGAGGTCCTAAAGCTTATGCCTTGATAAAATTATGATATTTCTGATGTGCTGAGCACTTGTTAACTTCAGTTCTAACATTGAAACTCTGCTCTGCCAGCATGGCAAACACCACGCCCACCTCTTTGGTCTGCAGGATTTTGGGATGGACTGAAGAAGCAATGCATTACCTGTTTGTTGGAGTGGACACTGTTTTTATTCCTGTTGTTGTCCAGCAGCCCCCCACACTTGCCCAATGCTGCCAAATCCTTCATAATAGAGTTCAGAGCTTCTTCTTCATCTGCAAAAAGAGAAGAGACAACTGAAGTGTGGAAGACAACCTTGCCCTTGGATGTTGAGAGTAAAAATACAGCATTGCAAATATAAACTTTTCAGAACAAATGGATTGAAATACACAATCTCAAACTTTCCTATTAAGAGAGACAAAGAAAGACCACAGCACAGCCTCTCCCAGCCCCTCCTGTCTTGAAAATACAGGTTCCTGCATCACAGGTGAGACACATAATGAAGTCTCATTGCCCCCACCTRAAAGGGYCTGCAAGAAAGCTGGGGAGGGACTCTCAATAAAGGCATGCAGTGAYAGGATACAGGAAAATGCYTTTAAACTGRAAGAARGAAGGCTTAGATTGGATATTGGGAAGAAATYTTCCTCTGTGAGAGTAGGGAGGCCCTGGCACAGGTTCCCAGAGRAGCTGTGGCTGCCCCTGGATCCCTGGMAGTGTCCAAGGCCAGGCTGGACAGGGCTTGGAGCAACCTGGGATAGTGRAAGGTGTCCCTGCCCATAGCAGGGGTGGCACTGGATGGGCTTTAAGGTCCCTTCCAGATGCACTGTCCAGGGGCTGGATCCAGTCTGTGAGGTGTAAGGGGGTGCTCTACAGGACAGAAACCTTTCAGGACCCAGCAAGCTCACAGAAGCAAGCAMGAGAGCATAACACAGCTCTTCACCTCTGCCTTTCCTCCCTCTTCATTCAAGGTGCTCAAGAGCCACAAACTGGTTTTCAAAGCCACAGGCAGCAAGAAACCACAGGAGAGGGCAAGGAATCAGTGAAAAGAGAGAAACTCAGCAATGCTGGATAGAAGACACTGAGAGCCCACGTGGGATTTCTGATTTCTGCCATAACGGGAGAACTTTGAGGGACCTGTTGGACCTGAAAGCAATCCCCTCCTTTTCAGCACTTTGGAATCTGTGGTTGTTTCACACTGCAAAACACCAACCACAAGAATTAAGAGCTCTGCCAAGACCTGGGGCAGGGCACACTCGTTAGGAGGGAGCGAGAACCAGCTGCACACTCCACGTTCGTGATACACTCAAGGCCAGCATTAGGCACAYGCAGCTATTACTGTAAAAAATACAAATACAGCTACAAATCTTGTCTAAAAATGAGTGTCTCCAGGGACAGAACCACCCCTACGCCAGGCCAGCCTGCAGATTTAACTCAAAGTCCACAAATATGTGAAAAATGACAAAAACTATATGAAATCAGACAGGACTGGACCCAAGTAGTGAGGATCTTTCCCCAGGGAGGTGTATGTCCTGGATCCTTGTACTCAGATACAACATCATCTCCTCTTTTTCTGCTCCTCCTGCTGGGTTCTATCAGGATTGAAGCTATGAAATAAAAGAAATATGTGAGAAAAATGACTTCTCATGAGTGCTTTGCTCCCAGAATATGTTAAAGAAATAAGGGGAAAAATTGGGGAAAAATGTTTAAAATACACTCTCATTTCAGAGCTTGGAAATGAGCTCCGATGCCTACATTAAAAAATCAGGAAAAAGCCTACATATTCCTGTAGGCAATGTGTGCATACATATTCAATATATAAACATGTATCTATACATCAATATTAAATATATAATTGATAAAATAATAAAATTCATACCAAAGTATGAAAATGTAATTAAAATCAATTTAAAATGTATTTAAATGTATCAATTTAAAATCTATTAAAATGTAATCCCTTTTGCCTTCCATATTTCCCTATTTACTAAAAAACAAGTACTTTTTTTTTCCACAGGGGTGGCAGGGAGCACAGCCTGAAATGCAACAGGAAAACACTCAAGAAAAGGATAATTTTCAGTTCTAGTTCAGGAAAAAAAAACCAAAACAAAACAAAAACACATCAAGAATGTCCTCGTAGTTTGCATTTGGGGCGTTTTTCTTTTGTTGTTGGTTTGTTTTGTTTGGGTTCATTTTTTTTTAAAGGGCCTCTGGGACAAGCATAGTTTTCCACACAGATTTTGTAGTAGGAAAATACCCAACACAAAAAAAAAGAAGAAAAAAAAAATTTTTTTTTTTTTTTTGGTGGTGGGGGAAGGGAACAGTGGGAGGGATGAGCTAAAACGAACCCACAAAAACAAAACCCCCTTACACTGCCCTCCAGGAATTTTCCACCAAAGCTCTAATCTCCACAGTGCCCCTCACCCCTTTCTTTTTTTCCAGTGAGTGACAACAAAAGTTTCCTGAACTGCCTGACACAAAACACAATCTGTAATGTCATGGGCCAACAGGGCCAGCAGGCAGAGCCTGGCTTTGATAGCAAAACCACCCAACTGACCACTGCTGTCCCACCTCCAGAGCTCCCTGGTCATGCGTGGCACCATCTTCCAGGAGAGGAATCTCTGGTTAACCCACCTGTCCCCTGGTTTTTATGACATTGTCCTCCTCTAGCTACACATCAATTTTGCCAAAAGTTTCGTCACAGACTTCCAAGCACATCAAACACAGGTTTAAAATTCCTGGTGCTGCAAACCCAGTTCATGATAAGTCACATTTCTCAAGAAGTCAAGCTACAAATCTCTGCCAGAAGCGACTTTTTGCAACTCCAAAGACGGCAAAGCAGGGAGGATCCACTCACTTTCAGTAACTGCTTAAATTCAGCCAATTTCCAGAAATACCCAACCATCAACTTAACTGGCCTAGAATCACTGATGGAAAACTGGGCTCCAGCTGTCCTGAATCAGGTACTGAAGAAAAAAAATGGAAGGAGAGGCTATTTCTTGTATCTGGCTGCCTTATCAGCATTTTTGCTCCTCTATCTACTAAAAAACCGATGCAAAAGAGCATTCTGAAAAGCATTTGAGGATTTGTAATTGCAAAACATGAGTGCTACTTGTCAAAAAACTAAAATACACATCCATGATATCACTGCTACAAAACAAGGTAAGAAAACTTCTTCATATACAAGCAGAAGAAGTTRTTTTCTGCTGCTGGAGGGTGMAAGATAATTTAAGCCCAAGCAGAAATACAGTATTTGCTTGAACTAACGTATTTGTACRTGCTTAAGTATTTTTCAACTGCTTTTAACTGTGTGCTTTTAGTCCAAGAGAACTGCAATTTCAAGGAGGCTATGACCAAAGCCTCAACTGTTCAAAACAAAACCCCCCACACCAGGCTCTGAAGCAACTTCTGAGCAGCAGCACGATTTGCATCATCGGTTGCAAAACCGACACTTCCCAGTCTTCTCCGGGACAGCTCTGCACAGGGACTGATGCTTTCCAGACACAACCTCTTGCCATCCTAATTACCGCTCTTGGGGTCTCCAAGCTGACTCCCAAGAAGGGTGGAGAACTTTGTTCCATGGAAATAAGCAGCCAGCTCAGCCAGTGCAGTCAAAATTCAAACAAGCACTGAAGCTAACTGGATAATTAAATCCAAATGCCACTCGCAAGCCTTTCCAGCRAAAGGGGCGTCACAGGCTGCTCCTTCTCTGTTTGGCTTGCTCTGAGCCAGGAGAGGGTGAACGATGGATGGTTCTCCCAAGGACTAAATGCCAGTCCTCAGGAATGTCATGCCCAAGGGACACGAAGAATCCTGTTCTCCTGATCCAGCCCTGGCAGAACCTAAATATTCTTCAGCCTTGTGAGAAGGCACAGCAAACACCTCCCCAGGCTCTGCCACGGCTCCAGAATACAACAGCTGCGAGTTGCACAACACCAGTGAAGCATCCCCAGTGCTGGGATGGACTTGGGAGACTCCTGGAAATCTTTGTGCAACGTGAGCAGGTTCCTGCTCCCGAACAACCTCTTGGGCCAGCTCCACTCTGGCATTGTTTTGTACAAATTCACTTAAGGTACTGTGGGCTGACASGATGAATTGAACAACAAATCCCACTTGATCTCCAACACAACATGTAAACAGGATTATTTCTACCATGGAAGATCAGGACAGAGAAAAGCTGATTAGAGAGACAGCAAAAATGAAACATAAAAATAAATTGTGTTTAGTACCGTCCCTCTGTCCCCAATGTCTCTTCTTCCATCCTCAGTTCTGTCTTTATTTTCAGCCRTTTCCCTCAGTAGGAAACTCATTTCTTTCTTCTCTACTTTCCAYCAACACACTTAATTTTGTGCTTTTAAAATCAGCTTCCTGTGACAAAGCTTGTTTGATCACGCTGCCAACCCATCCAACCAAGGATCGCTTCCAACAAAAAATAATAGATGTTTCAAAAGATATTAATTTCCCAGAGGTTTGGGGGCGAGGGAAATATCCACAGTCATACAGATGAGAGGAACACACAGGAGCAGAAAGCCAAGAGCACTCCCAAAAAGCAATGACCAGTGGAGCTCCAGTAGACAGGGTTTGTATTTTTATTAAAACACACTCATCCCTTTTGGCAGGATCTTATAACAAAACCAGAATGCCTTCTTCTCTCATCAAGTTTTCAGTTCTGCAAGATGTTAAGACTCACAAGTCCCAGACACTACCAGTATGAATCTGGGGCATCAAAATCAACCAGRCAGTGAAACCAAAAAGCCAGCAGATGACACATCTCTCTGCCTATCARAGATGTGTTTCCAGTGCTGCTAGGTGGCTTTGGCTCCAGACTGTGAGGGAGAGAGGAACCTGGACTTTTCAGTCTTACTACAGCAAGTTCACTGCTCAAAGAGAGGAAAAAAAATTGTAAAAAGGAAGAAATWGCCTGAAGGTCAACATGGACCACCCAAAACAATTCAAGAGTCAGGAGAGAAAGCAAATGAAGAAGGGACAAAGGAATAATTTAGCTGCGTTCAGATGGTCTAGACACTGCTGTTATTGTTGGCTTCGCTAATAGGTCATTACTAAGAGGAGCCTACGGTAGTTCCATGAAGCTGCTTCCATCAACACTGCAAAAAAAAAAAGCTCCAGCTGGATGGAACCCATAGGAAAAGCTGCAGAAGTCAAGCAGAGTCCTGTAGAACATGGTGGGCTCTGATCTGGGACCCTCTCACACACACCAGGCTGAGAAGAGTCGGGGAAAAGTCCTGGGCATTGCAGAAGGGAAGAATATTGTCCTGTGAGT